GATGACGAGATTGCAGATCTGTACACACAGCTGTGCCAAGAGTTAGCAGTGCACTGCATACAAATGAAGCTGCCCCAGAGCGACGCCTCGCACATCATTTGCTCCACGCACACAGCACTGGCAAGCGCAACACAGCAAGCTGATCCATACCAGCACATGCTCGCTCTTGCAGCGCAGGAGTGCACATCGCATCTCAATGCCCCTATACAGCCATCAATGCTGCAGAAGCATTTGCCGCGCTGCTTTCTGCCACGCAGGCCCGCGGTCTGCGATGGAGCAGGCATGTTCAGCACTGCAGATCACTCTGCCAATAATGTAAGTAGTAAGCCCAAGCCCCTAGCAAAGCTAGCCGCTGCCTTTAAGCAATACCTCACTAAACACGGCCTCGTTTCGCATATTTCTAAGCACCTACAGTCAGGGCAAGACTCGCACCCGCTTAGTGAAGACCATCGCAACGCCTTGGCAGACATTGTGCATCAGACCATGGCACCCAACATCGACAAAGACCAGTTCCTCCGAATCTCGGACGGGCAGCCCTTCCGTCTCACAGCACTGCAATACCTGGCACCAGCCATTCATGATAAAGATGCACAGCTACCCATCATCCTCGATGAGGGAGTACCGACAGGTGCTTTCGGAGCACTGCCCAGCAGCGGGCAGTGGCCCACAACGCAAAGCTCTTTAGACTTTGCAGACGACTTCAGCCCTGCATCCCTCGAGCACTGCAGGGGGAATTGGTTCCTAGCGGAAAGCAACCCCGCACTGCTGCAAGAGCTATAGTGGAGGATGAGGTGCGCAAAGGCTTTGTAGCAAAGTTCGAAGGCACCGAAGAAGACGCAAAGCGCCACTGGCCGCAGGGCACTGCAATCGGCAAATTAAACATTGTTATGGCCGAAGGACGCGACCCACGCCTGGTCCTTGACAGCACTGTGTGCGGACTTAATCCGGCCGTGCATCTCCCAGAACGGGTGTCACTGCCCAACGCCTCGGACGTGCAGCGCACATTTTTGTCAGATGACTGCTATGCACAGCTTCACGCACTGTCACTAGACTTTAAGGCAGCGCACAAATGCTGCAAAGTCAGCCCCGCAGACCAAGGCACCCTGCTGTTCCGAGTTGGCAGCTCCCTGTACTACTACAAGGTTTGCCACTTCGGGGCGCGCTTCTCGGCATATTGGTGGCAACGCACAGGTAGCCTCCTACTGCGCTGCATACATGCGCTGCTCTGTAATTACCCGCATCGAGCCTGGCTTTACGTCGACGACCTCCTGGCCCTGCTCCGCACAGCTGATAAAGACATGGCCACCGCACTGATAGTTGCACTGCTTTCAGCCCTGAACGCACCCATCAGCTGGAAGAAGGCTCAGTTCGCCCAGGAAGTCACCTGGTGCGGGTGGACCATTCGCACGGACGCAGAGACCATTGAGCTCCGCGAACTCAAATTGCACAAGCTCCGCGAGCAACTCATTGCACTGCAACGCAAAAGCAAAGTGCAACGCAAGGAGCTGGAGGGTGTACTAGGCCTACTTAATTGGGCCACCTCCCTAAGTAAACACATGCGCCCTTTCATGGCACCGCTCTACAAAGACCTACACAGCTGCAGAGGCACGCTGCACAGCATTTCACCGAGCATGTGGGGCACCTTCCTAGATTGCCTGGACAACAACGCAAAGCTCACCCGCACGCCAGCAGGCTCTTGGCTGCCACGCAATGCCCAACTACTTGAGGTTGGCAGCCTCAAAATTGCAAGCAAAGCAGATGTGCCCCTTGTGCCGCCCTCGCACAAACACCAATGGCTAAGGCTAGCGGACCCGCACCGCTCTGAAGTTCACCTTCGCCACGAAAGCAAATTCGTTCTGGCATGGCTGCAGCATTGCTTTGCGCATGAGCAGCCTCGCTCGCTGCGCACAGCGCCACGCATGCACTGCTACAGTGCGGCGGATGCATTCGCAGATACGCACCGCATGGGCATTGGAGGATGGATCAGCACTGCCGACGCCTTCCTGTGGTTCAGCGCCATCTTCTCTGCAGAGGAAGTGCGCAAGCAATGGCCGCAACTGCAAGGCAGCCTGCAGCCTTACATTGGCTGCTTTGAATCGCTCGCACAGCTTGCCCTGGCACAGTGCTCCTGGCAACTGCTACGCAGTAAACAGATCCGCTTTGTTCTGCCCACTGCATCCGACAATACCAGCGCAGAGTCTGGCCTTAATAAGCTTTTCAGCACGGCAGAGCCCCTAGGGACTTTCCTTCGCCTGGCGGCTACCTGGGCGCATCTGCACCGCGTGCAGTTTGAGGTGGAGCACCTCGCCGGCGAAAAGAACGTTTGGGCAGACAAGCTCAGCAGGGGCTCAACTGCCTTTCTTCAGCATCGCACTGCTGACAAAGTCGAAGTCACGCTAGCGCAACTAGCATCCGCATCGCATTGCGTCACATTACATGATCACGCACTCGCTTGGCCGCAACGGCTACTAGACGCTCAGCACGCAATGCTTAAATGATGTTAAAAAAGAGTGGAGTGACGCCTCTCTCTTCCTCTCTTTCCGTGAGAACAGCTTTGCTTTTCACGCTCTTCATTTCTCACGCCCTGCCTCGCCAGGTACATTCACCAACTCGCGCGGTGAGGGGCTTTTACAGCAGAGGTTGTCGAAGTGCACCTAAAGTGGGGGTTTGCTCGGCATCGCTTGCCGCTTTCCCTTGCGAGCAATGCCTCGCTCTGCACTGCACATTCGAGCAACCTCTGCGGAAAAATAGAGCGTATGCAGTTCGCACTGCACTTATCGTTGAGAACAGTTAGGAGAACGCTAGTTGTGAGTTTGTGTTTTTGATTCAACTGTGTTTTCTTATCTGTGTCGAAACCTTCAAACGCTGCGCGCTGCTTTCGGCACCAGCACTCACAACTAGTGTTCGCTTTCTTGCATCGCATGCATAAGAAATTTTTCACCCAGCCTCCACGCCCTTGGGGGTTTGCTCGGCATCGCTTGCCGCTTTCCCTTGCGAGCAATGCCTCGCTCTGCACTGCACATTCGAGCAACCTCTGCGGAAAAATAGAGCGTATGCAGTTCGCACTGCACTTATCGTTGAGAACAGTTAGGAGAACCCCAGTATTTCATTGCTTTTTGCACCCCAAAAGCGATTTCCTGTGGTTCCACCTCCGTCGTGTTGGAAAAACGTTCTTGATTTTATTTTCGATGACACAGTTTGATTTCTTCGTTCGCTTTCAGCTCCGATAGCGATTTTGTGTACGTCTTCTTGTGTGTTTGAGAAAGACGTTGGTTTGAAGAGAGAATGAACAAGTCAGTTTTTGTCCAGTTTGCGTTTGCGTTGCAAAAACCTTGCTGTAGCACTCTCTGTTGTGTTGTTTGACATGTCATGTGTGCTCTATCTTTGTAGATGTCAGAATAAAAGACATTGGAGGCCCAGAAAAAGATCCACATTTCGTCGTTTGCGGGAACGAGGCTCAGGGCCGAGGCAGCTTGTCGGGGCTGAGTTAGGGTTTGGAGCTCAGTGCTTGTGAGGTGTGTAACAAGCCTTACAAGAAAAACAAGGAATCCTTTTCAAGCTACCATCGACCCATTCCCTCAATGCGAAACCTCTTAAACCCAAAGAACCCTTATGATACTCCTATAAACACCCATATCCCTTTGACACTAAACAAGCGAGGCTTCGGAGCACCGACCTAAGCCACTGAGTGGCGAAAAAAAGCTTTAGAGTTTAGGGCTGAGGGATTTCGGATTGTTCAGGTTTAAAGTTTGAGCAGATGTCCTATCATCGTGTGGTTGGTTTACGTGGCCTTGCAGCTGGCTATCTGAGTCCCGATCTTGAATCGTGATCGGTGACGTATTGAGACTGAAAGCACCTTAGATACTGCAAAGCAGCTTCCCTTCGGATCCAAATGCGTGATCAGTTGCCAAATTAAATCTTGAAGCCAGCCGGTTCCAATTAGGGTTGAGTGGAAAGGCAGTTTCATGTTTTTCTAACATCCATCACTTCTTCAAGGTCCAGATGCAAACAAATCCAAAAGGCGAGTGACAACAGGCATGCACCAGCATGACCGTGGACCAGGAACATGCACAGTGCTTTCCGAGACCTCCGCAAACTAAGGGTACAGCGGGCCTGCGTCGTACACGAAGCACTCACCGAGGCTTTGCGAAACACGTAAACTGGTTTGCAGCTCGCACCGGTCATCCCAACAGCCCAAGCGTTGGGCCCCAAGCGAGAAGAGGCTGTTAAGCGAGACAGACTTCATTGGACGATACCGTGGCAGAAGATGGGCATTTTGCACAAAGGTCAGGTTTCATAGTGGGCTCGGGCGGTTGTTAGTCAGCAGCTGAGAATATCAAAGGGACCCGGGAAGCCACAACAAACATGATGTTTAGCTTTGAGCAACAAGGAGCGGTACGATGGCCATTGCGGTAACCTGAGCGGCCGCGTTGGTTCAAGTTGTTGGCGACAGTTGCGATGACAACAAGTGAAGCCGTGAAGCTTTGTAAAATTGACTAAATGAGCAGCGCGACGACAGGCACCATACGGCACCATGCAACAAATTAGTCTGCACATAGCATCACGGGTGGTAGTCCTACTTTCCCAATCTGCAGCCAAAAGAGTCCGGTCTTTCGCGGACACCATGGCAGGCGACACATTCGCTTCTTGCACGCATTGAAGGGCCAACCCCCTGCTCGTAAGGTGTCAGGCCCATCTTTTGAGCCAGTGACTGCTTGAGTTTAGGGGTTGAGGTTTAGGAGATGTTGTGTGATGCGAGATGGCAAATGCCCTCCAGCGTCATATCTACCATCAAGCTGCAGGATTTTTGAAGGCATCATCCTATCCGAATGCAATAGCCCTAATGTGTGCCCCGCGGCATCAACTTCCAGATCCGAATGCCCAAGTTCCATAACCTCCAAACCCTGAGTCCCTAAGACCCACAACCAGGTAGATCGCATGCACCATGAACCCTAAACCCTAAACCCCTAACCCAAGCCTTAAACTCTGAGGTGGATCGCATGCACCATGAGATCGAGATCATGACTCGACGCCTGGAGCTCGAGAAGCGCCGGCTCAAGCGCATGGACAAAGAGCTGGAGGCTGAACCACGTACGTAAACAAGGTTCCTCTAAGGGTTTCGTTCCTTCAAGGGTTCCTTTAAGGGTTCTTTAAGGGCTCTTGGCTTCGGGTACTTGAAGGTTCATGGGTAGCTATGCATGGAGTTATAAGACGTCTAATATGGGTTGTAAGTTGTCGCTATAGTTATTTCAGCTCGGGGCTCCCTTTGATTTCGGGGTCGTGGGAGTCTTGCGGGGCCAGGGTTGAGAGACTTCAGGAAGCATAAGGAGTCAGGATGGTCTAGGGGTTGCAGGACTCCTTTAGGTTCGTGATGTTTTTTTGTTCGATGTGTGCTATCCGTGGCCTGCAATGATAGGGCTGTGCTTTGAGCTTCGTGGTTGTCGCAGTGAGCTGCTGAGTACTGGTGCATGTACTAGTCGTAGCGAAAACATATACCCTCATAGTCCATATACATAAAGTTAAACAGAACATGCAACACCCTGCTCGAATTACCAAGGCCCTGTACCAGTGCAAGTACGGGTATCTCGCGATAGCAAAGCAAAGTACATGAGGTTGAAGACATCGTGTTGTCTTGTTGCGTATGTTTACTGGAGTTATGACCGTTTACTGCATAGAACATCTAGCCATGTCTTGTCGCAATATCCCACTCAGACGCTCGGAGAGGTCGGATTTCGGGTGCTGGAAGTAGCCGTAGCAGAAGTAGCACAGCGATCTTCGCGCCCGCGGAGCCCAAAACAACAGAAAGCCCAGCCGACACCGTTTCTTCAAGATTCGAGTCGTGCCACTCCACCAGACAACGTGTTCCGAAGCTCCACACTGTAATCACTACAAGCCCGGCGCAGCTTAGCCTTGAATGCTGCTTAGCGAACTATTCTTAAACTCTAAGCCACATGTCGCCCTCAACGAGCTCTATACTAAGCCTCCACTTTAAGCTTTGAACCCTGAAGCAAGTCTTGCGGGGCCTTAGCTGCAAACCTTCTCTCGGCCCGTCCTTGTCCTCTCAGCCACTGACCTGTCAGGCAGCACAGAAGACACATGCAGTCAAGGAGACACAGGCCGCCACTTTTCTCCTGCCTACTATGGCGACCGTCATGCTTCAGATCAGGTTTCGGGGTATGCCACGCCATATTCATGTAGGGACAGAGGGGACTGCTCGGGAATACTATCACTGACTATTGAGACCTCGATGTTCCCCTTGTTTAGGGCTTTCGGGTTAAATGCAGCATGTCTTCTGACCCTCGAAACTTTTGTCTTGCCCTGTCCTGGTCTAGGTATGGAACTTGGATGTTTCGTTTGACTTAGTCACGGGTCTTATCAGCAGCAGTTGGTTTCCAACAAGCAACCTAGAGTAGATATGTCTAGCCTCTCCACTCCCATTGCCAAGTGGCAGAGCGAAGTGCTGTCCAGCAGAATGGGATGACTACCCATTACTTACAGGACCCCTCTTTTAGCAGCCTATGATAAGGTCCTAGCATAGGGCTCCTGAAAGGGTAGTATATGGGTACCATATTGTAGTCGGATGACTTTCCAGAAGCTGCTGACCCTAAGGCAGTCCACCGGGCAGCCAACAAGCAAGTTTCAGGGTTTAGGGTTTAGGGCTGTTAAGGGTTTAGGGCTTTAGGGTTCAGGGCCGTTTAGGGTTCAGGGCCGTGTAGGGTTGGGGCTTTCGGGTTTCAGGGGTGTAGGGTTGCAGAAGTTCCGAACTTGGGGCAGGACCTGGAACCCACGGAGAACCCGTCGATGTCCCACACTCTCGGCGATCTTAGGCTCGGAAGTCCTAGACTCCACAGCTTAAACCCCTAAACTTCTAAGCCCCTAAACCCCAAAGCCTAAACCTCTAACCCTAAACCCTAAACCCCTTAAACCCTATACCCTAAACCCTAAACCCTAAAGGGTCAACTTCAAACAGGCCCGGCAGCGGCAAAACGCCGCGCGGGCCTTCGCGCGGCCGAAGAGCGGCGGCGCGGATCGAGCGCGGACGCCTACGCGGCCAAAGCAGCCTGGTTCAGGAGTTCAGGATTTAAATTTAGGGTTCAGGATTTCGGGTTTCGGGTTTAGGATTTAGAGTTCAGGACGTTGAGTTTAATGTTTAGGGCCAGGGAGAGTTGACTTGAGGCCTTAAGGTTAAGGCTCCTCTTTAATGGTCTGGACTAGGGTGGAGTGATGTGCTCCAAGGAGCAGCGGCGGTCGCCAGACAGTCTCAGATTCTCAAACGCTGCGTTCCTCGCAGCTCCTGCCGTCGAAGGCTCGGGAAGTTTGAAGTGTTGGGTTATTACTAGTCTCAATGTAATGTTCATGGTATTCTTACGACTATCATGATTGCTGATCACTGTGAGGTTATTACTACTAGTATCATGGTATTCTTACGACTATCATGATTGCTGATCACTGTGAGGTTATTACTACTAGTATCATGGTATTCTTACGACTATCACCATCACTGATCGCCTTTGGTATTCTTGGCCAATTAATGCAGTTCCAGATCAAGTCATGGGTGGGGCCACTAAATTGGCTTTGGGGTTTGGGGTAGCCTCGAGGGAGAAAAAATTTCAAACTGTCGGGTGTCGCATGCCACAAGCTCCATGTCTCCGTGCTGGTGGTTTCAGGCGCCTCAACCCCAAACCGAAACCCTGAACCCTAAGCCCTGAAACAAAACCCTAGCGTGTAACCTCACGCCGTAGCTCGTGGGGTGATCCACGGGGACTATCACGTTCTGCCGAGTAGCCGTATTGAGATCGCAGGAAAGCTGATCTACGGTTCCAGAACATGGCGGTTCGACGTGGGTTCAAAACGGGTTGCATCGGGGTTCCAGAAGGGCTTAGTGCTTGTTCCTTATTGCTGCAAGACATCAAGCCTCTTTTCCATTCTCATGACCGTGATCACCCTGACCTATTGTTGTGGGCTTACTTTTTCTAGCCATTTCACTGCTTGTACATGTCCACCACTACAGCAACAGCAACAGTCATTCGGTCGGACGCTCGCGAGAGTCGTTTGGGACGGGCTACAGCACCTGTTGCTGCTACTCCTCCTGCTACCGCAGCAGCTGTGCTGCCAAGTAGATCACGGGCTCATGACAACTAGGGCAGCCGAGTTATGGACTACAGTGGATTTGAACTCCAATGGTTGTAAACACTAAACCCGAAACTGTAAGCTTTAAACCCTCAACCATAAACCCGAAACTCTCAACCCCAAACCCTAGACTCCAGACTCTATCACAGCCAAAGCAGCCTCAGGCCGAGCCTTCGCTAGCAGAGAGGATGATTCCCATGCGACAGCTGGTGGCGCAGATGGACGTCCAAGCCGCTCGAAGTTCAACGCTGGGGATCGCTACAGCCCTATCTCAAGCCCTACTGATAGGCAAACTCGGACCATGGAATTGGTTCTGCGGGTTTAGGGCTGGAAGCTCTCACCGGAAGGGTTCCCGATCCTGAATATTTTGGGGCAAGGGTTTGGGGTTTGAGAGTTTACGGCTTAGAAGATACTCCGCTCAGAAGGGGAGCTGCATGTGTGGAAGGGCCTTGGGAAGATGGCCTGTCGCTTGAATGATTGTCGAGCATGTTCATGAGGGTTTAGGGCTTGAGTTTGAGAGTGGCGCACGTGATTCCATCTTGAACTACGGCGGTCGCAGGTCTGCCGTGAAGTCGAGAAGCAGCAAGAGCCCTTTAGCCCAGAAGTCCCACAGATCCTTTACGAGCCCTGTAGAGCCCTTGTAAATCTCTCCAGAGTCTAGAGCGTTGTCAATCCCTGTAGAAAACACCCAAATCCTGCACCCATGAACCCCTTAAACCCTACACCCTAAGCCCCTGAACCTTAAACCCTAAGCCCGAAGCCCCTAAACCCTGAGCCCTTAACCCTAAACCCAACTAACCCCTAAACCGTTGAGCCCCGCTTGAGGTGAAGAAGCTGGACGCCGTCAAGCACGACAACGCAGAGCTCCAGGGGGAGGCACTTCCTCGCCTGCTTTTTAGGGTTAGGTTCAGAGTTTATGGTCAAGGGTTCGTAGGCTTTTGGTGGCTTCAGCGTGCCTTCAAAGAAGCGCGATATCCTCACTGCGGGGCCTGCGCTGCTGCCTGCACCTTGAATTAGAGGACCCGTAAACTGAAGCCTGAAGCCATAAACCCAACCGAAACCCCCTTCTTCTGGGGTCTTTTGCTCCGAAACGCAAAGTCCCGATACTACCCCGAGAAGACACTGGACCTTAAGCTTTATAGTGTCTACGACATTCCTCCGGGAGGTTCAGCAGATCCGGAAGCGGAAGAAGCAGCTGGCCCTTATCTTCGAGAGGCTGAAGTACCAGATGCCCGGCCTCGACGACGCCTAAACCCTAAACCTCAAATTTTGGGGAGGACTACTTGTATTTTTTTATCAGGTTCTCTACACCTGTTGCGGTTTGGGGTTCAGGGCTGCTGCCAGGTTGATCAGGATGTTTTGGGTGGCTCGTATTCTGTTTTGGGGATGGAAACTCCTCCTTCGAAGCCCCATCATAAGCAAGAGCCGCAATGCAGCAATAGGATAGAAGAAGCCTGAATGATTGTCAACATCATTCCCTAAAGGTTTCTTAATGTATTTGGACTAAAGTATACACCAAACCCAATTTTCATAATTGAGGCCCCCCCCATATTACAGGCTTACAGTTCTACCAGTCCTCGTCGTGGTATGATCTTCGTTTTGTTCCGTCATGCCATCGTTTAGAGGCGTGAAGTGCTTGTTTGTTGAGTGGGCGACTGGATAATCGCAGTCGCTTATCTCAGGAGGGTAGTGAGGGCGAGCTGTCCTGCCGCTTCTTGCGGCGCCATTAGTGTCAGGGTTGTCGCTATCGTGACGAAATTGACGAAATTCATTGTTTGCCGTTGCTTGGCTGCTGCTTCGCTGTTAAAAAATTGAGTGTTTGGGCATGTGCCACAGAAGTTTGGAAGACAGGACCACCGACCGCACCCAACTCGCTCAAACCCTGAACCTGAAACTTTCGGGTACCAAAACCCGCAACCCCTCAACCCCTCAACCCCCAAGCCCTAAAGCCGTAAAGCCCCAAAACCCTTTTGGTTTAAACCCCGAAGCCTTAAAAATTACACCCGAAGAACCCAAAAGCCTTACACTAAAGCCCTAAGAACCCCAAAGCCTTATCTGACCCAGGATTCGGGGCCGCAGTGCTCAGATCCGCGACTTCGTTGAGGAGGGCCCTCCCATGCCGGATCTTTCCTAAACCATAGACCCTAAGCCCTAAACCCCCGCTAACAACAGATGGCCCATACCGATGCCTCAGCCTTGAAGACCTTCCGGACATGTGAGAAACTCATGCAGATGGAAAATGGAAGTTTCCGAAAATAGGGGTACCGTATTTGGGGGTCCTTATCATAAGGATCTTACTATTTAGGGTACTATATTAGGGTCCCCTATCTTCGGAAACTTTTAAATGGAAAAGAGGTGCCAAAAGAAACCCTCCCTAAACCCTAAACCCTAAACCCTAAACCCTCCTTGAGGAGGCGGCGCAGAGCAAGGCAGTTTCGAGTGAAGCGCAGCTGCTTGGCGGACTTCCTGCCCGAATCTCTAGAGGTCCGGGGGTTTCGGGTTTAGCAGTTTAGGGGTTTAGGAGTTTAGGGGTTTAGGGGTTCAGTGGTTTAGGGTTTAGGGGTTTAGGGTTTAGGGTATAGGGTTCATAGGGTTTAGGGAGGACTTTCTACAAGGGATCGGAGTCGGGGCTTTAGTTTTGAAAGGCTTTCGGGGTTTGGGATTGAAAGTGTCACAGGACAAAAGCCGGGGGCGGGATCAGATTTTACGTTGCGTTTGGGCTTTCGGGTTGAAGGCGGCATGGAACAAGGCCAGAGAAAAGGAATCCCAAAGGTGCCCCAAGCCCAAAACCCTCCGCATTCAACTTGAAGACGAGCCAAACTCGACGTGATTCCCCTAGAATCAAGACTAAACCCTACGCCCCAAACCCATAACTCGGTGAGAGTCCCTTAGAAGAACCCTAAAAGCAAAAGCCGAGGCAACGCGTGGAGGTGATGAGGAGGCAGCGGGACGATGAGCGAAGATCCTTTACCGAGAAAGTCTTGGAGATACGGAAGGACGCAGCGCTCGTAAGGGTTCAATCATCCAAGGTTAGAAGTATGGGCCCCGGCCTTTTTGAGGGAGTTCTAGGGACCCGTAAGAGTCTATATAGGGTATATCATAGGTATATAAGGATCCCAGGGTTAAGGGCCCACACTGTTGAAATCAACCCTAAAGGCTCAGTTTTTATCGCGAGCTGAACATGGGTAAGGGTTTAGGGTTTAGGGCTTAGGATCAAGGTCTTCGGGCTTGCTAGGGTTTGCGGACTCGGCAAAACCCAGAGCTACGCGACCAGTGTTTCAAATCCATACCTTTTTGGGGCGGCTCCTCAGAATTACATTACGATTCCCTTGCATATCCCCCTAGACAGGCAGGTTATTGGAGCTCGGGAAAAAACCAGAACACTGCAGTAAGCACCAAAGAGGACATCCGGATGGTGGAGCTGGACAAGCGGCAGGTGGAGGTGCGCTTGAAACAGGCTGAGGGCCGCGTGCAGCGGAAGAACGAGTGCCCGGCATGCAAGGAGGTTCAAGTCTTTTGGAGTGTCAACGGTTTGAGAGCAAAAAGTATATGTGCATGTCCCCGAACCGTCAACCCTAAACCATTTACAGAGCTTTAGCGTTTCATTTCAGGGCTGATAGGGTTTAGCTCTGGCGTTCAAGGGTTAGGGTTTGGGCTTGAATCTTCAGGGCTTAGGGACTTGGGCAAACCCCCAAGATGGGTTTAGCCAAAACCACCAAACGTAAATGCCCAAACCCCAAACCCCCTAAACACAGAACTGCAAACCCCAGACCCCAAACCATATTCGCAAAGCGTGAAGCCTCAAACCATAAACCCTCAAGCCGAAATTCAAGCCCTGAACCCCAAACCGTAAGTTTAAATCCTAAGCCCTAAATCCTATAAATCCCTTGAAAACCACAAAGCCCTAAGCCCTGAACTCAAAAAGCTGCATCCCGATCAAACGAGGCTGATTTTGCCTCCCGAGGAGGAGGAATTCTCGGAGCCGAGTGCCGTGGCGGCGGCTCTTGTGTGCTTTTAAGGGGTTACGTCGGGTCTCTTGGGTTTTAGGTTTAGGGTTTTTGGGTTTGGGGTTTAAGGATAAGGGTTTAGGGTTTTAGGGTTTGGGGTTTAAGGATGAGGGTTTAGGGTTTGGGGTTGGGGGTTTAAGGATCAGGGCTTAGCGTTTAGGGTTCAAGGTTGACTTTTTGAGCGCATTGAGATGGCTTAGGTACCTTACAGTACTATGTCGGTTCTATGAAATCCTAAACCCTAAACTTTAAGCCCTTGGTTTGGCGGCAGCTTTCAATCTTCCTCTGAGCTCTAGGTCAGAAGAGTTCAGGGTCTCGAGTTCATGTTTTGGGTCTTGGGAGAAATCTCTGGAATCTTCAGGAGGAGTCACGGCTTCGAATATTGGGGGGCTCATTTTTCGTGTTAAAGTGTCCTTACAGTAGGTACGTTGCTATGTCGGTTCTATGAAATCCGAAACCCTACACCCTAAATCCTAAACCCTAAACCACAACCGTGTTGGGGTCCTTTGTTTTGGAGACTCCGATGAGCAAGCATGCGTGGCTCTACGAGATCTCTTTTGGGCGAGAGACGACTGTCAACTCAAACACGTAGGGGTAGTTCTCTACATTTGGATCCCTTCTAGGGTACTTTTTTAAATCAGGGTGCCTAACGAAAGACCTTTGCCTAGAAAGCTACCCATGATGTGTTCTGCAGGCTTTGTACCTGAGCATTGTCTTTCCAAAGCCCTAAACAAATCCTTCAACCACCAGCCCTAAGCCCCTCACTGCGCAAGTCAAACTGGCTGCATCCGACGGGTTTTGCTGCAAACTCCGACAGTGGTCTGGTCCGATCTCTACAGTTATCAGTGGGGTCATAAGTAGGGTAACTATAGACTATAGTTATAACCCATATCAGGGGACTTATAACTCCGTTAGAAACTACCCATGAACCTCCAAGTGTTCTGAGGCATGATGCGCCGGATCATGAAGACGGCTTTCCTGAACTGCATCCAGCGGCGCCATATCAAGCGGCTCGACCTCTTGGTCTCTGCGTGGTTAGGGTTATGTATTCGAGATATTTGCGGAGTTTTAGGACGTGTATAGTTGAAAGACTTTTGTGGCATGAGGCTTTTGACAGTTTAGTCTAGTGGATCCGAACCCTGCAGTATACTGCTATCTGCTACCATATATCACAGTCACGGTGCGCTCCAGAAACTTACTCAACTTAATCAGGCCTATGTTCTTAGTTTCAGTTTCACTCCCCCAGGTGGCGAGGGCTCCAAGCTGTGTCGTTCTCGGGGCAAGGAAGAGACATCCTCGTCAGGCGGTGTCCCCCAAAACGGGGTCCCGAATCGAAGCCCCGGGCTGGAGGGTCTAGGGCCAATTTCGATTAGGCTTTCGGGGCTAAAAGGGTTCATCGTAACTCAGAATAGCTTAACTTCTAAAGGACTTCTAAACGGAAATCATAAAAAGGAACCCCGAAAAGGTGGGTGATTCAGGGTTGAGGCAGGGTTTAGGGTAAAGCCCTGAATCCTTGGAGTGGCTCTGGCATCCCAGGCAGCATCAGAAGAGCATCGAGATCTTCGAGCAGGCAGCTGTGCATCGCAGTTTTTTTGGCAAGATTTGCAGTGCAGACGAGCGAGCGAGGGTAGTTGAAGGATGGTTTGTATGCCTGCGGAATGCATGGCTCGGTTCCCCTGCCATCAGGCATTTCGGACGATCAAGGAGCGGACCGGGATCTCCAATATCGAGGCATTTCTGCTCTGTTCTGTCGAAGAGGTTGTATTTTCCGAAGCAACAGTCTGTAGCGGTGCAATTCGAGGAGTTAGGTGTGACGGGCCCAGACTCCTTTCGTGGCTGTCATGCTGCCATAGTTGAGTCCATGTGTTCACGGCATGGATGTGTGCGTGTACATGTATCTGCATATACACACATGCATGCAAGCGCCATGCATCAATGAATAACAGTACCGGGACATGCGTGCGCATTCGTACAGATGTTCAGACGTGCGCACCTGCCTACATCATATCCGTATCCATGTCCATGCCAACCAATCTCTCCAACTGCTTATCCGTGCATATACAGTTGTACATGTGAGTATTGAAATATTGTACAAGCACAAACCCAACTACACAACCACATGCACATGCAAAAGCACAGACACATGCATATACAGTGCAACAATCAAGTATGGTACAGCACATTACATCATATTAAGTACAGTACAATACTGTACAGTACCGTACAATAGTACAACACATACGCTTGCATAGGGTCAGCGTCGCGTTGAAATATGCTGTTTTATATGGTTTTACTGAGGTATGCACATATACATCACCATTCAGACGCGCTTGCCTCCATACGCGTGTGTATGTTCAGGCCTCGTTCTGTCTCTCCGTATCCACGGTGTACGCACACGAACCGCAAGCCAGGAAATCGTGAAGATCTTCGTTCATCTCGAGAGTCGGAACTTTTCTCTCCTTACGTGCCCCAGCTCCGGCAGGAGACTGTTTTTGGCTCAGCTAAGGTATTTTTTATTCTTCTTCCAGCAGGTCATCCCAGTGCTTCTTAAGCAACATACAAAGCCGAAGCACGAAGGAGACCCACTCTATCCCCCCCCACACCCCTAACCCCTCAACCCTGGGTGACCCAAACCCCTCAACGCTACATACCGCATGCCCTAGATGCCCACAGTGCGGGTGAAAGATGTTGAAAGAAAAAGATGCTCCACGCTGCCAAAAAGCATAAAAGCGCTCATGGAAAAGGACCTTGGAAACACTTCACGATGGATGCAGGTTGCCAGTTCCGGTTCTTTCTGAAGGAAGTCTGTGAATTTAGCTTCGTAGACCATCAATGCGTATCTCGAGGCTTTCAGCATTTCGAAGACGCTGCCTGAGCGGTTCAGATGTTTCACATAGATTAAGCCACAGTCCTGCAGCTTGCTGGTGAAACAAAGCAGATGGGAAACCGCATCTCCCTATTCCCTGCTCGTGGATTTCAACAACAAAGCATGGCATATTCGTAGGCCTGCAGCCGTATATTCTGCCAAGGCATTTCCAGTGCCTGGCTTCTCCAAAGCAACCAAACACACTCACGCATCAACACAAGAACATCGTTGGAATCAGCACAGCACATCATGCGTTCGGACTAAACATGAGTTGCGTCTCGGTCACAGGAAGGCGACATGAAGGACATCCGGGAGGAGATCGAAAGAGCGAGTAAAACCCCAAAACTTAAAACCCTGAACCCTAAACCCTAAACCGTAAAACCCTAAACCCTAAACCCTTAAACCCATACACCCCTAAAGCCCTAAAACCCTGAACCCTAAAACCCTAAAGCCCTAAACCCAAAAACCCCTGACTTCGAGGTACGTGAATCACATGAACCGTGAGATCGAAGCTCTGGAAGGTGCCTCCACATTTAGTGTTTTGGGAGTTTTGGGGTTAGGGTTTTGGGGTTTTGGGGTTTTGGGGTTTCGGGGTTTTGGCGATTTGGGGTTTAGGACTAGGGTTTTGGGGTTTTGGGTTTAGGGTTCTTAAGTCTTCCTCATTGTCGCAGTCATCATCACCATCACCACCTTCGTCTTCATAGATCGTCATCGTTGTCCTCATCGCATTGTCACGCTCACCTTCCTCACCACATTTAGTTTCCGCCAACATTGTGGCATCATCGTCGTTGTTGTCGTCATCATCCTCATCGTCATCACCACCATCACAATCACCAGCATCATCATCATCATCATCAACATCATGGTCACCATCATCATCATCATCATCAACATCATGGTCACCATCATCATCATCATCATCGTCACCATCGCCATCACAGCCATCATCGCCATCATCGCCATCATCGCCATCATCGCCATCATCGCCATCACCGCCACTGTCGTTTTAGTCATCATTGCCATCACCGCCATCATCGTTTTGATGGTTAAAATGATGATCATCATCACCACCTTCACAAGAATCATCGTCATCATCATCATACTCAGCTCCAGCCAACATACTTTCATCTTCATCCACCGCCACCACCGCCTTCGCCATCACCTGCAGGTGTCAAGCGCGGCCGACGGCAAGCAGAGATGACCTTGAAGCAGCGGGAGGCTTCGAGCGTTCTTTGTTGGCTGTGGTTTTTCTGGAGTTCTTGGAGCCAAGCCCTGCTTAAAATCATTGCAACACCCTCGCGAAACTCCTGTACAGCTTGCAGAAAATCGTGGAAAGCGGGTATAGAACACACAAATTACGGGTTTGGGGTTTAGGGTTAAGTTTCAGTCGCCGGGAGGTGACCAGCGAGAAAAACCGGGAGTTGGCGCTGGGAGATATGCAGAAGAAGCTGCGGGCCTGCTGCTCGGGAACTCCGAATCCCAACCACAACCAGGGTTTTGAGGGTTTAGTTTACGGCTTAGGCTTTAGATTTCAGTGTTGGGGATTTAGGGTCAGCTGACGATAGAAGGGCAGGGGTAGAGCCTGTGGCCTAATTAAATCGGGCAGCCGTGGAGACTTAGTAGGGACAGCCCTAGCAAGGATTGACAGATTGAAAGCTTCTTTTTGACGGTCTGGATCTGTATATCTTTGTGTAAGTTTATGTGGTTTGTGAAAGTTTTTTTTAGTCTATGTCTATGCACACAAGATGGAGTTGAAAAGGCTGCTTCAGGCTTTGCTAAAACACTCGTGAGGGCTTAGGCTATGGGAGCAGAAGATAGGTTTGGGGGACGTCTGCTCATACAGTTAATTTGTTTATTTAATCATTCATTTACCAGCTTTCTGCTTGATCTCTTTCTCTCTCTCTCTCTCTGTCTTTCTTTTTCCGTACTGTGCCCCTCTCTCATTTACTTGTTATTCAGGTTTGTTTCTCGCTTCATTAAACCCCACGGAGCCTCGAGTCCTAAACCCTCGACACCCCAAATCCTAAAGCGGTATTCCCCTGAGCCTTTCTGCGAACCGAGCAGGGCTTCAGTTAAATACCCAGGCTCGGTGATATCATGGGACCATCCCTTCCGAACGGCCTTTCTAGATGGAGCAGGTTTAGCTGAAACCCTGAACCCCAGACCCTAAACCCTAACAAGCTTAGCCCCTAAGCCCCGGTTGGTTTGGAATTCCCAGTTAAGACTAAACTTTAACTGTTCAGGTCCATGCACGTTGCAATTATTACCTAACGGCTGGATGGGTTCTGGTGTCGGCTTCTTCGCAGAGTCTGGGTATCAAATCTTCCTTCTATTCGAGGGTTTCAACCTGAGAAGTATTGACCAAAGCAAACGCACAAGACAAGCCCTCGACCACACTCCTAAGCCCTCGACCAGACTCCTCCAACTGTACGAAACTATCCAAAATACCCCTAACGACGCAATGCACTTCAAAGACAGTATCCTTGATCAAGGGCGCAGACGAGGCATGCAATTTCCATATTGGATAGAAGTACACGCAATTCTAGAACCACACCGCAACCCCCTCTAACCGGACCACATTGTAAGTATGTGCCAGTACACTGTCAGTGGCGGCAATCATCTTTCGAGTTGGCGTCAAAGCGCGCATGCACAGTGCACGCAGGGCCGCCCTTAAAAACCTTAAGGTAAAAGCCAGAAAGTTGGAATATGATTCTCCTAAGCCTTCTATGGTAAATTATAGGGTATCCTACCATGAAACCATATTCCAACTTTCTGGAGTTCCCTATACGTATGCCCTATGCCGAAAATGCATGCAGCCCGCAGCTGAGGCGACGCAGATCACGATCGAGGAAAGCCGCGAGGCACAGCAGTTGATGAGAGTACAGGGCTTTCGGTTTGGGGTTGAGGATAGTGAACTTTACCTTGCTTGTGCTCAGGCTCGATGGCCCAGGGTCTAGGATTCGAGTATGTGAGTAGGCAAGGTTTTATGGAAGCCCTGTCATAATGAAAAGGTTAAGCGGCTATCCAGCCTCTTTTGCCACTTTTGAGGTTTCTGCACTTAGGGGTGAGGGCCGATAAGCGCCATGATGGGGATACACGGTACAAACTTTCTAAACCCTAAACCCTATTCCAACCCTTCCAATCTAGGGCCTATGGCCGAAGAGTAAGGGTAATAGCCAACTTCTCCGTCTCCAGAGGTCGCCCCGTCTTCTCCTCGTGGAACGCCAAGAATTCCTCGTACAGAAAGTGTAGGATCAGAGCTTGGAGTGTAGGGGTAACGGTTTCGTTTGATATTGCGTGATGTAATGTAGCGGCCTTCATTATCGGAACAGGGTTTCTTTCACAAGATTTCCTAGAACGAGCGTTACTAGAAGGGTTGCGATCCGGAGAGGAAGGGGTTAGGACTAGCACACTCTCAGAAGAACGAGACACTGCACAGTGATGCTATGTTTCAGGATCACCCTGAAGCCTACAACCTACATACGAGCTATAGAAGGCAGTGTGAGTCCCTTACATCAAGGTTAGGGGTTTAGGATCAGTTAAAACCATCCCTGAAGACCCACTAAAGCCTTAATTGGGGTTATAAGTAACTATAGCTGTAGGCACCTTACTTGTAACCCCACTTCCTAAGTCCCATGATCCCTTAAGTAAGCCTTGGGTTTGGTGGGGTTCAAGGGCCAAGGGTTTTTTGTTACGAGTCCCGAAGCTCCAAGAGAAGGCGTAAACCGTGAAACTCGACGTCCTAAACCCAAACCGAGGACCGCGCACACGAAACACACTGACAGGGTCTCTAGACCCTCAACCCCGAAAGGGAGCCACAAGGAGCCTAAGCCCTAAACCCTAAACCGCTAGACTCGAATTCCAAGACCCGGGCACCCTTCGCTTCGAGTTACCTGGGTCTGAACCGCAGGTCTGCGACAGCCAGCGTCAGGTCGTGCAGCATGTGCTCCCCCAGATCAGCCAGGCGAGCCCCTCAAGAAACCCCTATATGGATCCCTTAAAGGAGCCTTGGGTGAACCCGTAAAGGAACCCCTACAGATTCTATAGATCCCTCATAGAAGAAGGGACCCGAGTCTCGAGAACTGCCCATATCGCTTGGACAGGAGTTTCATACAGCCAGTGCTTGCTGAAACCTTAACGCCCCAACCCCTCATCTCCGCAACCCTACACCCAGAGCCGTAAAAGGCTTCCCCCCCCCTCCTTCGGAAAAACATCAAAGAACCATGGCCCTGCGAGCCCCGAAAAGCCCTAAACCCTAGACCCTCAACCCTAAACCCTCAACCCTAAAGCCCCAAATACCAAGGGTTTCAGGTGGCGCGGCTCCTGGAGCTCGAGTCAGAGCGCCTTCGTCCGACGCCTGGGAAGACCGGAGCCGTTTCCATTAGCACCAAAGCTTTATGGATTTTTCCAGCATCTTTGAAGCTGTTTTCTGCCCGCTGGTAATCTTGGAACTCTTGGTTAACTTCATCATGGATTGTATCGGAATATAAATGTATATGTATGTATGTACGTACGTATGTATGTATGCATGTATGTATATACATCTGTATATTCACACATACCGTATGTGTGTGTGTATATATATATATACATATATATATATATATATATATAATTATGCGCACATACACATAATGTGCATTATCTAGCTATTGGTGCTAGGCCCACAAACCCTAAACTCCTGAAGCCCTGAGCCCTAAACCCTAAACCTCCCAACGCCCAGGCACCTAAACTCATAGGCCTCATAGGCTATTGAGCTCCTGAACAACGCCAGACCCAGAGCCTCCAAAACCCTTTAATTAAGGAATATACCTTAAATCATATAAGGGATCCTATTATAATTTACGGTATATTCCTTAATTCAGGGATATTAGACTCCCCTAAACCCTATACCCTATAGATCCCTTTAGGGATCCCTGTAAGGAACCCTTAGGGTATATTCCTTAATTATGGGGTTTTGGAGGCTCTGGTGGGGACCTGGGACCAGGCGAAGCCGGGCATGCGTCGGAGGTCAGCGACTTCCCGACGAGGCACTTTTAGGTCTTTAGGGTTTAGGGTTTAGGGTTTAGGGTTGGCCCCGTCTCGTCGGTGGGTTTCGTAGGCGTTAAAGTTTAGTTTTTTGGGCCAGCATTTTGTTTTGAAGGCTTATGGCTGTTGTTTTCTGCTTTTTGTCAGTCACTATTTCTTGGTTTGCAGGTCTAGCAACTGTGAACCCCGAACCCTACCCTAAAGTCAGGGGAAGCTTTAAGGAAGCTCAAAGGGAAGCCTGGGGGAAAGTTTCAAGAACCAGGACGTGTTATATGTCATAACTGAGCACAGACAACGAAGCCTGAAGCCCTTGAACTTAGGCCCATGAGATCCCATCTCCGTAAAGCCATTTAGAAACCTGGAGTCTTCTGAACCCAAAAGCCTTATAGTAGCTCCTGAAGCCCCAGCCCCAAAGCCTTAAGCCCGAGAGCCTTGAAGCCGCATACCCAGAGACTCCAATATCCCTGAACTAAGGAGTATTCCTTAAATCATGTTAGGGATCCAGCTATGATTGAAGGTTTTTTCTTTAATTCAAGGATATTGGAGTCTCTGGGTAAAGCAGGGCTCCCACTGGAGCCCTAACCCCTTTAAACCCGAGCCGTGAAAGTCTGAGCCGTGGCTTCGGCAGGCCTTCTGACGAGCTTCGTCCTGACACCATGCTTCTCTGGCTGCAGTGGGCCGGAGGCCCAGGTGCTGATACATATAAAAATATGTACATATACATATACATACACACCCATATATATGTATATATATATATATATGTACATATTAACATATACATAAGTTAATTGTATACATACATATCTACATATATATATATATATATGTATATATGTATGTGAGTGTGTACCTACACTCGCATAGATATGATAGTATAGATGTTATGCGCATGTATAGGTGTACGTACACAGAGACACACACACACACATGCCAGCTTAAGGTGGGTTTAGGGTACATTCACTCAAGGTCCTGCCTAATGCGGTGGACTAGGCAGAGCAGCCATCAAACAGCTGTTTTGGCTGGCGTTTGTGCATTTGATTGGCTGCAAGATTCGACAAAAGCTCAAATCCTAGCATAATTAAGCTCCAACACCTAAGCCCTCCACCTGAAGCCTTAAAAATCCTACCGCGGAGAGCCGGTGACTTCCTTGGTCGGTTCCGAACGGAAGGCCGCCCATCTTCGCGCTGACTACGATTTTGGGGTTTAGGCTTTAAGCGTTATGGTTTAAGGTTTACAGGCCACCAGCGCTCTAAGCCCCAAACCCTGAGTTTTGAACCTTAAACCCTCAATCCTGAAACCCTAAACCCCCAACCCCTAAACCTAAACCCCCAGGTCGTAGACGTCCTGCACCACGGACCCGAGAAGGCGACTTCAGACTCCAGACCTTTGGCCCTAAGCCCCAGACACCACAAACCAACGAGCCCGGGGCTACAAAAGCAGGCTTCTCTAAACTCCAAACCTAAACCCTAAACCTTAAACCCTAAACCTTAAGCCCTAAACCCTAGACTCCAAACCTTACCCCCAATGCCTGATCGCCGAAGAGCGGCGCCCTCCGAGGTGGAAGACGTCCTCAGCCGCCACTTGGCAGCAAAAGGGTAGGGTTTAATATATGAACCTGATTAAGAAACCTTGGGTCAGTATCAGGGTTCCTTACATGAATCTTACTATTTTGGTGTTATAGGCCCAGGGTTTCTTAACAAGGAGGGTTAAGGGGTTTAGGGTTTCAGGGTGTTTGGTCGAAGCTTACGGTTTAGGGTATGCAGCGTAGGGTTTGGAGTGCAGCGTTGAGGGTTTGGATCCTCTAAAATTTAGCTCTGCGGGGCGGGGGGGGGGGGCTTGGGGTTCATGGCTCCTGGCTTTCAACTTTCGGGCTGGGGTTTGGGGTTTAGGGTTCAGGGTTTGGAGCTATCGAGTTGCAGTGACTCTTTAGCAGATCGTGCTGTTCTGCAGAGTTCTCATGGGTAGAACATCGTAGTAATTATGATAATACTTGTGCGACGAGCAGAAATAGCGTAATTGGTGCGACTGCACCATCACTAAACTTAAACCTTGCTCAAGCATCCCTTAAACGAACACATCGAATCCCAAGCCTAACCTGAACCCTAAACCCTAACCCTAAAACCCTAAAGCCCTAAACCCTTAAACCCAAAGCATAGGCCCTAAGCCTTAGCCACCCAGCCTCAAGAGGCTTCCGCGATCTCCTTCCGCTGAACGACCCAGCGGTGAAGGTGCGGCTTTCCGGCCATGCGGACCTTCTGGGAGTTTCGAAGGTTTCTTTTGGGGGTCTCGGATCGCCAGGCCTATGAGGGTCTCGTATTGAAGGTTTTTGTTAGGGTTCTCTGAGAGACATGAAGCTAGACTAGACTCTCCTAACTGAACCAAAAGTCTCAGAAAACTCGAGGAAGCGATGCGCCCTGAGTCCAAAAATCCTGCATCCTGAGCCGTAGTAACATGCCGTTCTTGAACATAGGTTCTCACAAAGCTTACAATTTTCCTAGGGGCTCCAAGCAGCCAAGTCGCAAACGAAGGAGACCTACTTCCCTGCCACTGCCGGGCCGGCAGTGAAGAATCTGCAGCCGAAACGGTCGGGGACCTGGGCTTAGGCCCGGCTTCTTTATGGGCCTAGCCTGTCAGTAGCAGTCGTAGTCGCTTCGAGGTTTAGGTTGTGGTGCTGGTGGTAGCGGAGGCTGTGTAGCAGTGGCGGTGGTGGTGTCCGACGACGGACGACGACGAGTACTGCGACTGTTTCTGACACTGCTGCTGCTGCTGCTGCTGCTGCTGCTGCTGCTAGTGCAACACTTCTACCTACCGCCACTGCTACGACGACCACATTACCGTAGGCGGCAGGATGCTATCAAACCCTCGTTACGGAGATTCTAAGGCCTTGACGGAGCCGTTTTGGGTCCCCGAAATTGGCCTTACACCCTATACAGGGTAAGCCCTTCGGACAAAACGGTAAGACATGCCCGCATAGTGCATAGTTGTGGTGCTTTGCCTTTAAACTAGTAGACTGTGGATCCACAGGTATACCCTACGGTTGATGATATAAATCCTGCATTACCTAAAGGAACCTAAACTATGGTAATTACGGTATATTCCTTATTATAGGTATAGTATACCTAAACCCTAGACCCTAAACACTAAACCCTAGACCCGAAACCCTAAACCCTAAACCCGAAACCCTAAACCTTAAACCCTAAACCCTATTGATACATTCGGCCTCAGGACGCATCACCAGCCGGTGCCCAACGTGAAGCCCCAGGCCGCCACGACGTGTTTTGCTCGGCACGGAGCACACCCTAAACCCGAAGCAGGCCCCCCTAAACCCGAAGCCCGAAGCCCCCCTAAACCCTAAAGCCGAAGCCCTAAGCCCTAAGCCCTAAATTACTAAAGCCCCTTACCTTAAATTACTACAGCCGAACCCCAAAACACCAAAACCTTAAACCCGAAAGAAGCGGAGGGTTTAGAGTGCTTGTTTGGGGTTCTGTAAGGGCTCTTTAAGGATTCTTCGAGGGTTCTGCAACGGGTTATATAAGGTTTGTATATGAATTTTTAGAAGGCCTCTTAGAAGGGTTTGTCAGAGTTTTATTATGTGGGTGTTATGCGGTGCGACAAGGGGCCTACATGGTTGGCGTAGGCGTTCTATGATGGCATTTGTTCAGAAGTGCTTGTTTGCCAATTGGCCTAAAGTTAGGTTCGTTTTGGGTAGGATCTCCTGATAAGAGAAGTTTTCTGAGTGAGTCCTCGTTTAGAAGGACCTGTGGAACACTCCCTCATGTGGCGATCCTCCGAATAAAATGTCCTGAGCCCGACGAGATTTGCTTCACATGTTCATCTTGACAGTGTCTGGGTAGCACCAAGCTACGAAAGTCCTGTCCTCAATGAATTCCGGGGGGCGAGAGACTCCAACCCCTGAGCCCTAAAACGGCCAAAGCCCAAACCCGTGCAGCATTGACGTCCTGAGAGCTTATGGCTTGCCGTCCGAAAGCCCCTGCTGTGCCATATAAGCTCAAATTCCGAAAGCTGGCGCGAAACCCTAACACCTTTAAAAACTCTAAAGCTTGAAAACCTAAACCATAAACCCCGAAACATTCAACAGTGAAGCACTGGAACTCTATACCCTAGGCCCCCAACCCGACACCCTAAAATTCAAAACTAAACCCTGAGCCTTAAACCATCTAAGCCCTAAAACAGTTTTTATCTGAGACCTGCCACAGGACCTGCCGCCGGCCCCACTCCTGGGCGAGGACGGAGGCACGCAGAAGAGGCCTTGGCCTCAGAGTTTAGGGATTTAGGGTTTAGCGTTTTCCGTCTCATACTTGTCAATCTTCTCATGGTCATGGCTATTTTCACTGTTTTTTTTCCGTCTGGTCGTCTGTATTGCTTTATTTTGCCAGTCGACGGTGTTATGGCGTGACAGTTGTTTCAGGGTTGAGTGTACACCTTCACAGCAACCACCTCTTCGTTTGCTTTGAGTGGGTTTCAGGTTTAGGATGGGTGTGCGGAGTCGCTTATACCTTTTTTTTTGCGAGGGCTTTGCGAGGCTGTTCGTTTTTGTTTACATGCCTTGCGAGCTGTGCTTGGGTTTGTGTTTTTGGTCAGGTCATGACGGTATCATCATCAAGCTCTTGTAAATCACATGTGCCTCATCGGGGTCGAGGACTCTAACACAGGGGCCCAAACAATTACCGATATTATTCTGCGGGCTCTCCATCCCCTATACTTTTGTACACCCCAAGCCAAATCAACTATGAAGGCCCCTGATTTTACAGGATTTTTTTTGGGCTCTGGGTCTGGATTTCAGGGCTTCAGGGTTTGGGGTTTGGGTTCCACACAAACCTGGAACGACTGTGATGCCACTTGTGATTTTCATACGAGCTGACGGATGATCATGGCAACAACATAAGGCATTATAGTATATTATTCTTAGTATAATAGACTATACTTTAGGGTCGGCCCCCGCCCATTAATAGTGCAAAAATAGGTTTTGTATATATCACACAGGCCAAAATGAGCACCAGGAAATCCAATCTACTTCTTTGGGTATTTGCCGACATGTGACCAGGAGTAGAGACACCTGGAGTGGATGGGCCCACGCAAATGTGGGAATATGTGATCAGATATGATCCAATGTCGAGAACCTTGTGGCTGAACGGCCCAAGCAAATTTCGGATGTGTGCAGAAGTGTGATCCAAAATCCAAACAATCTGTCCCCAAGAGATTTGGGATGTGACCGCATGTGTCACGTTCCATTCCAAACGCGAAAACTTGTGTGTGCGAAGGGCCGCAAGACCACCAACCAGGAAGATGACTTGTGTAGTAAGTAGTAGTCTCCCACTGTGTCCGAATCCTGGAGCATACATGACCCATACACCGACCACAACCGTGGACCAGAGCACCTTTGCCTTTGACTCATGACCCAACCGCGACAAGATTACGTCATTTATTTACCTTCTCGGTCTTGCTGGCATGATTGATTGCATGAAGGGTGCTGTCGCCATGGCATTGTGAGGTCAAAACCATCGCAGCAGGGCGCTGTGCTGTGCACAGAGAGTTGTGGACTTGAGCCATGAGCTATTGCATAGCTGCATAGCATAACTGTACGCTGTGGGCTGTTTGTGTTGCCAGCTGTGATTGGAGGGTTGCGGTACTGTCCAGCTAAGGTTTGGCAGGCGTCGGCGTAGTGGTCTGCGACCCTGCAGAGGCTTCAGTGCTGCAAGCACAGAAAAGCACCAGAAGAGCACCAGAAAAGCACCAGAAAAGCAGGAGCTAAGCAGCGGGCGAGCACCAGAAAAGCACCACCTGTCAGTCAAACAGTGAGCCGTAGATCCGCGCAGGGCCTGCGCGCCTTCCAAAAAAACCAGATCATGTAGCACAAAAAAAAAGCACAATTTAGAAAACTACTCAAGCAAAATTAGCACCAGCAAATCGCAAAATTAGCACCAGCAAATCGCAAAATTAGCACCAGCAAATCGCAAAATTAGCACCAGCAAATCGCAACAGGAGCACCAAAAAAAGCACCAGCAAAGCACAAAAAAAAAGCACAATCTAGAAAACTACCCAAGCAAAATTAGCACCAGCAAATAGCAAAATTAGCACCAGCAAATCGCAAAATTAGCACCAGGAAAAGCACCAGATATGCTAAGATTTAATGGGACACAGCTGCACACGATTAAGTTTATATGAGAGGGAGCACCAGCGAGAGCACCAAAAAAAGCACCAGCAAAGCACAAAAAAAAGCACAATCTAGAAAACTACCCAAGCAAAATTAGCACCAGCACATCGCAAAATTAGCACCAGCAAATCGCAAAATTAGCACCAGCAAATCGCAAAATTAGCACCAGCAAATCGCAACAGGAGCACCAAAAAAAACACCAGCAAAGCACAAAAAAAAAGCACAATCTAGAAAACTACCCAAGCAAAATTAGCACCAGCAAATCGCAAAATTAGCACCAGCAAATCGCAACAGGAGCACCAAAAAAAAGCACCAGGGTTTTGCATCAGACTGCCATGAAAATGTGATCATGTTTTTCAGACTGTCATGAAAATGTGATCATGTTTTCTAAAAGGAATCCGGTTCTGCTACTAAAAATGATCGATCGGCCCGGATCCAGCCAGAGGCCGGCCACGGCCGGGATCCCCTCAAGCCAGGGCCCGGGACCCCCCAGGCCCCTGCCCCAAGCTATAAGAAGGAGGACGGGGTCGAACCTATAAATTTTCGCAATCTACTTTTTTTTAATATTGGCCAGTTTTTGCGCGCATTTTGCGCGCAAAAACTGGCGCCACACGACCCCCCAAGCCCCATGGCCCATGCCGGTGTGGCATGAGTCAACCTGTTGGCGGCTTGAGCTGGAGCTGTGGCTTTGAGTGAGCTTAATTCAGTTCAGTGTAGCAGCTTCGCAGCGATCACTTGGCCCACCTCAACTTAGCTTAACGTAGCTTAACTTTACTTTAACGTATCCCCGAACTTTCAAGTTAACAGTTAAAAGTTTTAACTAAGTTTATTCAATGTCAATGTATTCTACTCATCTCTAATTTGATTCGCTTGGCGGCTGAACTTAGCTTAGCTCACCTTAGCTTAGTTCACCTTAGTGTATTTTAATCTATTTAGCTTCACTTAACTTAAAATATTTCAACCTAGCCGAATTTAGCTTTACTTTAACTCGACTGCAACCTTAACCCCTGAGCCTTAAGTTGGCCCCCCAACTCAATGTGAACCTAACCCTTAACATCATCACCGATGTCCGAAGATGTGCATCTGCTTGACTTCTGTGCGCCTCGAGTCTGATCATATCCTTAGGTCAATTGGGCCTTTTTCGGGGTGCTTAATTTGGTGGGTCTGATTGTGGTCACTATTAATGGGGCGGGGCCGACCCTAAACTATACTTTAGTGTAAAAACAATAATGTATGTATATATATATATATATATATGTATAAATAATACTATGACATAGAAGACATAACATCATATTGTACAAGCTATCCGTGGGTCCCGTGACCTGCTTTGGGGGCTTTATGCAGTTGCTCCATCTTCAGTGCTCGAATTCTCATCCCGGCCCGTCATGAGCGCTGCAATATAGGGGCCTTCATTACCTACACTATTTCGGGGGTTACTTACTATAACTATAGTATAATATACCTCAAAACCCTATTCCAATTGTTAAAGCCCCTACGTTACCCTGAAGCCCCAGGCCCTCCATCAAACGCCCCGCTCAAGGTCGATGTTGCAGGCTTTTTGGGTTTTTTGGTTCCCTGATTTACTGTTACTTCTTCGGGCAGCCTAAGTAGTTCCTTTTTGGGATTACCTTAAAAGATTCTAAATATGAACCACAAAAAGGAGCTACTATCGGGCCTCACAGTGTTCGGAGTACAGCACTATTGCGATCATGGGGCCTAGGAGGCCCTCACTTGGAGAACTGCCCAGCACGTAGTCTCCGCCCAGGGCTGGTGGCCTTCACAAGGCGGGCTTCGAAGGGTTCGCGGGTCTGGGATTGACTTCGCAGGGCCTACCTTCTGAGGGCTGTGGCTTGTGGATGAAGGGTTCGATGATTTTCGCGCCCACATGCTAGCATGGAACCTGTCATGAGGCCCAGGGTCGATCTTCTGTCCCTGTACTCGTAGAGTTTCCGTCCTTCCAGAACTCACTTTAGACCAGGCATCCTAAACTCTGAGGATAACTTACACGGACATCCAAGCTGTGACCCCGAACCCTAAAGCTTTAACAGGAATCCTAAACCCTTGACTATGAAGCCTAAACTACCGAGAAACCGAGGCCCCAAGCCAACGAAGAACCCTAACTCCTGCATCCCAAGTCCCGAACCCTGCCCCGAACGCAAAATCCTGAACTTTCTAGTCAAGTAACGAAAGCCCCGCATACTTGCCTGTTTCATCACACTCTGGCATATACCCCCCGTAAACCTAAAGACCAAATCCCTAAACCCTACACCCATAATTCAGCGCACCACTCTTTATCCCCACCCTTCCCCCTAAACATCCTTAAACCCTTTATCCCAACTCTATATTCCCGAATCCAGCGCCCTAAATCCTAAAGCCTCCATCCCTAGAAAGCCAGGGCAAGAGCCTAAAACCTACACCCTAAGCCCTTCCGAAACCCTACGCCTTAAATCCTAAACCCTAAACCCTAAACTCCGTAAACCCTAAACCCTAAACTAAACCCTAAACCTTAAACTCCTTAAACCCTAAACTCCTTAAACCCTAGGCCCTAAACCCTAAAGACGGAAAAGAGGCGCTTAAAAAAAAAAAACCCTAAAGACAGGACAAGGCCGACGCAGAGGAGGACAGCGATCAGGAGGACTTCGACCACCGGCCCCTCACGCTCAAGGCAGGGGCTCCCCCGGGTTCCGCGCGTTTTAGGGTTTAGGGTTTAGGGTTTAGGGTTTAGGGGTTTAGGGTTTAGGGGTTTAGGGGTTTAGGGTTTAGGGTTTAGGGTTTAAGGTTTCAGGGTTACAAAAGGGGCCGGGTTTAGGGTTCAGGGTTTCGGGTAATTCTTTAAAGGGTTCCGTTAAAAGGGTCCTATAAGGGTTACTGTAAGGGTATAGTGGGGTACTATGATATAGAGGTTCAGGGTTTAAGGTTGATGGTCTGGGGTTTGAGAGGTCTGTTTCAGCTCCGGTTCAGGGTGGCATCCTACTTGCAAGCCTTTCTGTGCGCTTGCTAAGTCGCCTGACCCTTAAAGCCCGCTTGCTGCGGAACGACAAGTGGCCTTCAAAAGAACTGAAACCTAAGCCAGAAACCCTAAAACTCTACTAGTTACCCCAAGCCATACAACCGGAAAACGCCGAAGCATTTTTTCTGTCCCTCTTGATCCTTGAAGAAGTTTTGCTCTGCACAGGAGATCCGGTCGCGTGCCCAAAACTCCCGGGCGACCAAGGGAAGGACGGACGCCCAGAAGATCGCAAGAGAGCCCAACTTACTTGCAGGCATTTTCCAAAACTAACCAGCATGTTGGTCTCTTTGGGTAGGATGCCCGAAGATTCACGGCTCCGGCCAACTCTCAACCCGAATCCATCAACCTCGAGATTCTGAACAGCGCTTCTAGGTAGACGACTGTTTATTCTCGATTGGCTAGCCCCGCGCTCGTGCACTCGCAAACTCTTGGACTCTTTTGTTGGCTGTTTAACTCAGGGGGCTGCGGCGTTTATAGCAGCCTCTGCCGCCTAGTTTTCGTCAGTCTCTTTTGAGACGTAAACCCTTTGTACAAGTCCTCTTCAATTCAGATCGACTTTGCCTGGGATTCAGGTTCTCATTCAGAAGCAAACAACCTACCCCAAAGCCCTAAACCGAACCCCCAGAAATCCACAGCGCTAAACTCCTAAAATCCCGAAGCCATCGGAAGGAAAAAAGAACACCATGAACACTAAGTTGCCATATGCAGCTTTGCAACCTGCATCTCAACAGAGGGCCACTCAATACGCAGCCCTGAAGCCCTAAAATCCTAAAGCCCTTAACCCCAAACCCGCAACCCCAAAGCCCTAAAACCATCAAACCCTAAAGCCCAAAGCCGAAACCCTAGAACCCTTTCAGTCCTGAACCCGAAATCCCTACGGCCATAGAATCCCAAATACTTAACCTTCAGCCCTCATCCCAAAAGCTCCAGAGCCTTCAACCCTAAACCCTAAACCCTAAACCGCCCCGAAGCTCAGAGCTCCAAGCCCTGGAGCTTCAAAGCCCTAAAGCCCTACTTGGAGGTTTCATGGCTGGCAAAAAGGGTTCCCTTAAGGGTCCCTTTACAAGGGATCTGTAGGGAATCTAAAAGGGTATAGGGTTTAGGGTCTACTTGGAGGTTGCATGGGTAGTAATAGGTAGGGTTATAAGTAGAGTAACTACAGTCATAACCCATATTGGGGGGACTTATAGCCCACTTATAACTACCCATGAACCCCCAAGTACGAAGCCTAGACCTAAACCGCAAGGGCGCACGCCTAAGAACCCCAATGCCCTTCACACAAACTCGAAACAGACCCGGTAAGCCCCATTTACCAGAAAGCCCTGCTGAAGCCCTTAGAACCCTAAACCCTAAAACCCTAAAACCCTAACCCTAAAACCCTAAAGCCCTAAACCCTAAACCCTAAAACCCTAAAACCCCAAAACCCTAAAACCCTAAAACCCTAAAACCCCAAAACCCTAAAACCTAAAACCCTAAACCCTAAACCCCAAAACCCTAAAGCCCTAAACCCTAAACCCTAAAACCCTAAAACCCTAAAACCCCAAAACCCCAAAACCTAAAACCCTAAAACCCGAAAACCCTAAACCCGTCTGAAGGATCCGAGAGCCTCATCGGCCGAGCAACGTGGGCTTCGAGGCCGGGGGCTTAGGGCGCGAAGGGGGGAAACTTCGAAGGAAATGGAGCTCAAATCCTGGAGGGGTTCGGGGTTGAGGGGGATTTAGGGTCTGGGGGCTGGGGGTTAAGGGCTTATGTGTTTAGGGCTTTGGGGTTTAGGGGTTGGGGTTGTCGTTCAGCACCAAAAGCGCCAAAGAACTCAAATCCGAAGTCCCTTCAAAGTTGAACCTTGATAGCAAGGATCCGTGCACCTCGAACTCTTGTCGAACCCTTCTGAAGCCCTCTATAATGAAATTCATAAAACCTTTGTAGAGCCACCCTCACACAATCCTAATCCCTATAGCAGCCTGAAGAATTCAAGGTTATTCCTTCTTATATCTATGCTATAATATACCCAAAACTCCATTCTAATAACCCTAAACCCCAAGCCCTCTTAAGGAGCCCTTAAAGGAACCCCTTATGGATCCCTTAAAAGAAGTCTCAAAACCTGCTAAGGGAAAAGCCTGAACTTCGAAGCTCAAAACCAGAGACTCCAACATCCCTGAATGAAGGAATATGCCTTAAACTATAGTAGGTTCCCTAGTATGACTTAAGGGATCTTAGAATCCCCTAAACCCTATACCCTATAGATCCCATACAGGATCCCTTTAAGGAGCCTAGGTCCCTGAGGAATATTCCTCGATTAAGGGATATGAGCGTCTCTGGGAAGACCAGGACCCGACCGGCACCACGTCGCTCTCCCTGAGCTTCAACTCGAGCCGACAGGTCTCGGCGCAGAAGGAGGCGCGAGGGTTTAGGGTTTAGGGTTTAGGGTTTAGGGAAGGAGGCGCGAGCTCGGCTATGCCATACGAGTATATGTAAGGGCCTTAATATTTACCTATACTATCTGGGGTTCCTTATTATATGTACAGTATAACAAGGCGGGTACATGCCATCATGTAGAAGGAGGCGAGCTTGGGTACTTAAAGGGATGCCATAGTGTAGGTTCCTCTTATAGTTATAGTAGACTATACCTTCATTCAAAGGGCACCAAGGGGGGATGAAGGTACTGTAGCTTTAGGGTTCCTTTCAAAGGGTCTATAATAGGGCTACTATAAGGGCTAGTATAAGGACTTATTAGAGGGGCCTTACTAATTACCTATACTATTGTGGGGGTTCCTTATTATAATGATAGTACAACATACCCCCAAACCCGATTGTACTCATCAAGGCCCCTACAGTAGTTAAAGGGATGCCATACGGGTTCCGTAAGGGTTTGGGATTTGGGATTTTGTGGGCTTAGGGTTTTGGGGCTTAAGGTTCAGGGGGCTTCGGGCTATTGGGGCGTAGAGCTTTTGGTTGGGGTTTGGGGGGTTGAAACCCGAAAACCCTAAACCCCGCAAACCCTAAGCTAAAACAAAAACTAAACCCTTAGCCCGTCTTGGTGGGCTACAGGCTGCAAGTGATGCTAATGAGGATGAAGATGAGAAGGAGTGGCGAGAAGTGTTAGGGCTTGGGGTAGGTGTAGCGGCTCCGGGCGGAACGAAAGGTTTTGATGCCCGAGCCGGCCGGAGTGATTGAGGGAAGACAGCGATGAAATGGGAGTTTCCGAAAATAGGGGACCCTGATAGAGTACCTTAAATAGTAGGATCCCCATGAGAGAAAGAACCCCAAAATAAGGTACCCCTTGTTTTCGGAACCTCCCAAGTAGCTTGATTTTTTTTGACGGAGGGATCAAGCTCTCTGTCTGCTGTTTTCACTTCAAGTACTGCTAGAGAAGCCTCCCTCGAGGCTCTTTACAGAAGCTGTGGAAACAGGCCGTGCAAAAGCCTAAGCCCAAGAATCTTTATCCTGAAACCCGCCCCCCAAACCCTAAACCCTAAACCTTAAACCCTAAACCCCAAACCCTAAGCTCTAAACTCCTAAACCTTAAACCCTAAACCCTAAAGCCCCAAAAAGCCCTAAAGCCAGACCCGAGGCAACGGCGGAGCTGAAGACCGGCACCGCCACGCTGCTGCCGCCACTGGGACTTCGCCGTGGTTGGGTTCTTTTACTTGGGGTTCTTTGGCTTTAACCAAGGCTTTATGGGCTTTATGCATAAGGGTTGTTCTCTGGGATTTAGAGGTTCGGGGTTCATTGTGTGTGTGTGTGCACGTGCATGTGCATGTTTGTGTGTCCTTAAACCCTGAATCTAAACCCTGAAGCGTGAAAGTCTCAACCCTGAAACATCTTGAAACCATGAAACTTTCCCTGAGCCCTAAACCCTAAACCCTGAGCCCTAGGCCTTAAAAGCTCCGAAGCCCAAAACCGCCGTAGCTCAGAGACTCCAATATCCCTCAATGAAGGAATACACCTTAAATTATACTAGGTTCCCTAATATGATTCAAGGAATATTCCTCAATTAAGGGGTTTTAGAATCCCCTAAAGCTTATAAATCCCTTCAAGGATCCCTTAAAGGAACCTAGGTCCCTAAGGAATATTCCTTAATTATTGGAGTCTCTGGGAAGCCCAGGGATCTGCTCCGAATCCTAAACCCTAAACCCTAAACCCCTAAACCCCTAAACCCTAAAACCCCAAAACCACCGCAGCCCAGGGAACTGGCGAGCTCGCGGCGCTCCGTCGGCTTCCAGCTCGGTCGGGGCCTTCACACCAAGGGCTGCGAAAGGGGGAAGTTTAGGGTTGGGCCTTTAAGAGATCCTTTAAGGGTTCCTTGTAAAGGAACTATAAGGGTTCCTAGAAGGGTTTAGGGTTTAGGGTTATGATCAGTATCATGCTTGCTGTTGTTATAACAGCAGCAAGTACCAAAAAGCGCTGAGGCTTTTTTTGACATTGCTTTCGTTGTCCTGTTTCGTCGCCCTTTGTTTCTATTATGGGATGTTTTAGGTCTTAGGGCTTATAACAACCCAGACAACCTACTTTTTCCATGACATATATTTTATAGGGAACTCATACTAAGAAGGGGGTTTGAAGAGTTGGGTATCAGGGTTTTGGCCTTGGGCTCTTGATCTTCACCGCCTTACATCCGGAAATACGGTCTTCTTGGGGGGGTTTGTGGGTCGAGCACTGGGGGGAGTGAGTTACGGTTTAGCTAGCTTTTTCTGTATTTGAGCAAGTTTTGGTTTTAAGGAGCGGAGGTGGTTTCGCACCCGCAACATGCCCCTGGGGCCCAATAGGGGCAAATTGACCTTTTGGCTCAAAGGGACCTCGGGACTTTTTTGGGGTTTGACTGCTCTAAACCCAGCGTGAAGCTCCCAAATCGGTACCCTAAACCCTACTGTAAACCCTAAACCCCTAACCCCTAAACCCTAAACCCTAAACCCCTAAACCCTTAAAGCGAGCTAAGGGTCCCAAGCTTGAACACCCAACCCCAAACCCTAAATCCTAAACCCCTAAACCCTATCGCTAAGCCCAAAACCCAGAACCCTAAACTCCTTGAACTCTACACCCCTAAAAGCTAAGCTATCAGCTATCGCTAAACCCTAAACCCTAAACCGCAGAGGCCCTTCAAAGAACCCGAAGCCCTGAAACCTGAATGCCCAAACCCCAAACTCCCAACCCTAAACTCCCAAACCCCAGACCCTAAAGCCCTAAATCCCTAAACCCTAAAATCCTGAACCCTTAAAGGCCCTAGGCCCTGAACACTTAAAGGCCCCACACCCTGAACCCTTAAGGGCCCTAGGCCCTGAACCCTTAAAGGCCCTACCCCGTGAACCCTTAAAGCCCCCCCCCAAGAGAGCCCAATACCTCTAAATTAAGGAATATGGCTTAAATTATATAGGGCTTCATATTAAGATTTTAGCTATATTCCTTAATTAAGGTGTCTTGGGCTCTCTGGGCCCAACCGAAAAGTTCCGAGAAGACGAAGGCCTGGAGCCTGCTGCCGTGCCGCTGGACGAGGCGACCACGGCTTTCTGTGGGTTTTTTTTTTTCCGAAAATTGGGGATACCTTTAAAGGGATCCTTAGAGGGATAGGGTTCCTTTAAAGGGTTCTAGAGGGTTTGGGGTTTGAGATTTTCCGAAAAATTGGGGGTACCTTTAAAGGGATCCTTAAAGGGGTCCTTAAAGGGATCTATGAGGGTTCTATAGAGGGTTTAGGGTTTAGAGTTTCCGAAAATTGGGGGTACCTTATTAGGGTTCCTTTAAAGGGATATTGCTATAAGGGCACTATAAGGGTTTCTTTAAAGGGCTACTATGAGGGTTTAGAGTCTCCGAAAATTGGGGGGTACCTCATGTTTTGGGGTCCTTAATATAATCAGGATCCTACTAGTTAGGGGACTATACTAGGGTCCCCTATTTTCGGAAACTCCCATGTTATCTAGTTTCGTGGAAGGGTTCTATAAGGCATCCTCATAGGGTTCGATAAGGGATGTACGGGGGTTCAGGGTATAAAGATCGTGAAGATTATGCTCATGGTTATTACGTATTATGAGGGTTCTGACGGTTCTTGCTAGGGTTAGTCTTTCAGGAGTTTGGGGGAGGATTAAGAGTTCGTATTACGAGGATTTTTCTTTTCGGAGTTCGAGAGAAGCATTTCGGGTTCTGGAAGGGCTTTCTAGGGGTTCGCAGCCGGTTTTATCCCCCAAAACCTCCCCAAGACCTCAACCCCAAAAGCCCTCAACACCCCAGGGGGGGCTCGGGGCTGTAGGTTTGAGGATGCAGGGGTTGCTCGTTTGTGGACCAAAAGCCAGAAAGAGTGAATGATTGCTACTGATATTACAGTAGCATGATTAGCCAGCAATTCTGCTTGAAAGAGGTTTAGAACTCAGCTGCTTAGGATGTTGGGCATTAACCCTTAAACCCCAAAGACCCCTAAACCCCTAAGCCCCTCAACCCTTCAACTCTTCAACCCTGGGGAGCTTCGGTTGAAACCCTTAGCCCCAGACGCTAGAACCCCAAGCCCAAACCCGAAACCTTGAACCCCTACTGAACCCTAAACCCTAAACCCTGAACCCTAAACTCTAAACCCTAAACCCTAAACCCTAAACCCTAAACTCTAAACCCTAAACCCTAAACCCCCTCAAGCGCCTTTACCCCTCCCGCAGGACGCCGCGCAGGAAGGCGTCGGATGCTGCGCTTCCTTTTGGGTTTCCAAGCTTGCTAGGTTCCTGAGGGTTCCTTAAAGGGTTCTACAGAGGATCTGTGGGGGTTTAGGGTCTGTTTGAGAGTTTGGGGAAGTTTAGAGTTTGGTTCAAGTTTGGGGTTTAGGATTCTAGTCTTCAAGTAGGGTTTAGGCTTCAAGGTTTCCAGGTTAGAGTTTTGGCTTCAAGGTTAGAGTTTTGGTTTCGAGTTTAGGATTTAGGCTTCAAGTTTCGGGTTAGGGGTCGACCGTAACTTGTTTTGGGTTTCGAGTCTCGGGTTTCGGTTTGTTTGGTAAAGGTGGTCCGCCTTCAGAGGAGGAGGGAAGGGGCATCTTTGGCGTCGACTTCGGCCTTACTCGGGTTTAGGGCTTGGGTTTAGGGTTTGTGGTTTAGGCCTTGGGGTTTACGTAGGATGAGGAATTGCGCTCAGGGTTAAGTATCGTCGTTAGGGTGGCCTCTGTCGGTAGGAGTTTTCCAGATTTGGGGCTCGGCGTTGCATGATTGTTTCGGTCGAAGATGCCCGCGGAACAAGACTACTTGTACCATGCACGCTTGAGTACCATGGTTGCTATCCCCTATAGAGGTAAGTACACTGTACCTGCTTCTGTATCTTGCTGCTGTATAAGGAGTTACCCCGGCCCGAAGCGCTGGACTTCAAGCCCGTTGCCTGAATCTCGCACTTGAAGCCCTGAAACAGGAAAACGCCTCGGAGGCTGAACTCTGAACCCGAAGCCCTACGCCCTACGTCTGAAGCCCTGAAGTACTAAAGCCCTCAAGCCCTTACTCTGGAGGCGGCACGGGTGGCCGCGGTAATGAGGTGGCTGAGGGCGTCGCTTGTTGAGGGTTTGTTTGCTGGTGTGGTCCAATATAGAGGTCTGAATAAATAATAGTAACACTATCCCCCTCATAATCCCAATGTGAATATGATGGGACACAATTTGCCCAAAACGTTGTTCTAAGTGGCTGTAGCACAAGGGGTACTACGGGGCGACGACAACTGTGAGGTCTACCTTGATCCACCGCAACTCTCTTCTTCTACAGTTCCTCCAGACCCCAAGCTTAGCGCCGTCAGAGTTTCGCAACTCTCTCCTTTGTTTTTACGAATGTCTAGATTAGCATTTGCAAGATCAACCTACAAATTGAGTAGGTTATGGTAGTTTTCGGTAGGATTTAGGATCCAAGGTTAGCACAAGGTTCCAGGGTTTGCGGGGCTTCCTTGTCAGAGGTCCGGGCGGCTCGGTTGTACGAGTCATAGCGCAGTGCAGCCCCCCAAACCCAAGTTCTCTGAATTAGGGTTCCGTTTAGGACCCCCAAAATAGTACGGTGCCGTTATACAAAAGGACCCGAAAAGGGATCCTAATTTGGAGAGCTGCCCTTTTGCTGTCTGTTGCTTCTGGCGAAGTAATTCTTCGGGGACGAGGATTGGAAACCAAACGCCCTGGAACCTGACCCTTGGAACTATAAGAAAAGCCTACAAAAAGTAGGTTATCGTAGTTTAAGGTAAACCCTGCACTCTGAAACCTAAACCTTGGAACCGCAGTCGGAAAAGTGCCCATGCAAAAAAACAACTTGGAACCTCGGCCCTCAAAGCTCTAGTAAGCCAGCAGTGTCGAACTGTGCGGGAGCCTCAAATGCCAACATCCGCTTAGTAACCTTGGAAGACCCTTGAAAGGAACTCTATTCCAACTACCAAGGCCACTGTATTTCTTCCCTAAACCCTAAACCCTAAACCCTAGAGCCTCAACCCTGAACCCGAAACCCTGAAACCCTTTGCTCTTTCCGAAACAACCAGCCAGGCAAGCGAAAGCGACAGCGAGTCCCGCAGCTTGGATGCTTCAGTGCCGAGCAAGACTATAGGTTCCTCAGTGGGGTTTGGGGCTTAGGGTTTAAGGGAAGGAATACAGAAGCCTGGGTAAGTAGAACCGGGTTTCCTTTAAGGACCAGGAGATCATCAGGAGACCATCATACCCACCGGAAAGACCACTGAAGGAAGAGTCCCGGTATGTCACGACGCGGTTTGGGGGAAAACATGAAGAATACCAGGCTTTAGACGCTACGGGAGTTTGCCTTAAGAAGCCCCTATCTGATCTGAAGCCCTCCAATTAAACAAACCCTACAATGGAACCTTTGCACAACCCTGTGACAATTTTTTGGGATAAATGCCAAACTCTCACCCTAAACCCTAAACTCTCACCCTAAACCCCTTTCAAAGAAACACCTTCTGAGAGCCAAGAGTCCGCTTCGAATCCCTTGGCCCTTAGGCGATTCAACGCCACTCGCAAAGCAGCCTCCTCCTTAGCCTCTGCGGTCACGGCTCTCTTGGACGCTTTTGGGGGCGTTTCGGGCTGGGTTCCGCATTGGTTGGGGCTGCTTGGGGCTTGAATTTCAGGCTGCGGCGGCTTTCCAGGCATTTTCAGGATGTAAGAGTTTAGGGAAATGCCCGTATGTGAGAGGGTTGAGTCGGGAAATTTCTACAAATTAGGGTCCTGGACTCTAGCAGCAATAATCGTAGTAGTGATGAAAAATAATAAGAAGGCTAGTACCACTGCACTACTTCTAATACTGTAAAGGACCCTACTAGTTAGGCGTCCATATCGGGGGCCCAGATTTTCTGAAGCTCACACCTAGATTCTTGAATTCCTTTGCTGCTACAAGATTCTGGAAAGCAAGCCGTCAATCTTGCAACTCCCGAGATGTTCTCTAAAACCAAACCCTAAACTCTAAACCCCGAGATATTTCAGTCTGCTCAATCCTTCGACACATCGTAAAGCCCTTTTTACCTTTAACCCCAAACCCCTACACCGAAGCCCTCAGCGCTAGGCGTCATCAAACCAAACGAGGGAGCTAAATCCTCGTAAAGCCTCAGCCGTAAACAGTCAAACCCAAAAGGCCCTAAGTCCTAACCCCCAAGGAGTCCTCAACCCTCAAAACGTCCAGCCCGAAACCCCCAACTATGGAGATCTGAGCAAGTATTACGCTACTAAAATCCCCACAACCCTGTACAGCCGCTAAACCCTAAACCCCTAAACCCCAAGCTCCTGGGGCTATAGAGCCATCCGAGAAAGGCCCATGAACGCCTTGAACCTGCGCGTCCGGCAGGCCGGACGGCAAGTTTGGGATGTAGAGCTTGAGGAATGTAGGAACCTGGTTAAGAAACCTGCGGCCTTTATTAGGATTCCTTTACAGGAGTCTATAAGGGCTACTGTACGGGGTCTATAAGGGTACTATAATCATGTAGAAACCTGATTAAGAAATCTGGGCCTTTACTAGGTTTCCTTCTATGAATCCTACTTTTTGGGGTTATAAGCCCAGGGTATCTTTATCAGGTTCCGACATTAGTTTGAGTAAAGATCAGAGTCCCTGGTTCAGGATTCGCACTCTTCATGGTGACTAGGGTTATGGTTTGGGGCTGCGGGCCCCTTAGCCCCAATGCTCGAGGGTTATGGTTTGGGGCTTAGGGTTCTGGACAAAAGTCAGTGCTTGAGCCCTGAACGGTTCAAGGCCTTGCCGTACGCTCCTGATCCCCCGAGCGTTTTGAAGCCGACAACGCCCGCACCCCAAACCCTAAACCCTGAACCCTAGTCGGGATTACCATAAAGGTTTACATAAGGATCACAAAAAGGGATCTAGAATCGCAAAGCCCAAAACCCTACCCTATCCTAAACCCCGAAACCGACTATAAGGGATCTATAGTCGCAAACCCCCAAGCCTTACCCGACCCTAAACCCCAAACCCCAAACTCAGCTCGTGCTCAGCTCATCCAAGTGGCGGCGATGTCGCGCACCGAGGAGGTGACCCAGGTCGGGAGCTCAGCCGTGGCTGCTCATAGCAATCGGAACCCCTAAACCGTAAAGCCCCTAAACCCTGAACCCTGAACCCTAAAGGCCAAAAATACTTTGAAGAATCTGGACCCTAAAACCCTAAACCCTAAAGTTGATTCAGTTCGCGATCTTAGCTCCTGGGTAAAGTTCTCATAAGACCCAGCAAAGAGACTGAGATTGAACCCCTACCTCAATCTTCCCAAGGATGAGCTGGACGTGACCTTCCTGCGGAAGTACAACATGTCCCGGCAGGAGCTTGAGGTCCCTCCTGCCTTAAATTATCATAGGATGCCTAATGTGGTTTAAAGTCTATTCCTTAGTTAAGGGATATTGGGTTCTATGGGTACGACTTTCTGGGTAGTGCGGGGGTCCCTTAATAAGTAGAATAGGGTTCGGGGGTATATTACACTGTAGTTATATATTTATAAGGAGCCCCCCAAGGCCCTATTCTAATGATTAAGGCCCCCCTGCATTACGAGGGTTTGTTGGGTTTGAGGTTGGAAGAATCAACGGACTTGCGCCTTGGGGCTCTAAACTTTAAAGCAAGCCTTACAAGGTTTCTCCATGCAGCTGGTACAAGAAGGACTTCGCAAAAGAGACCCCGCTTAATTTCTCCTGAGCCACGGCCAGGCTAAGCTCACTGAAATGCCCCGTGGCTTCTGAACCTCCTCGGCTTGGAGCCCCTTGACCGTGCTTTCAATCCCAAGCTCTAAGCCCTTAGGCCGCGGTAGCGGCGTCAGCCCCTGTTCCCTGCATACCAGGTGATGGCTCGCAGATATCTGTATAAGAACAGCAGCAGCGAAAAGGTAGGTAGCAATAGCAAAGTACGTACGCACTCATGACTGCCTTTTTGCTTTGCCACCCTAGTACCCAGAGACTCCAAAACCCCTTAGTCAAAGAAAATACCTTAAATCGTAATCGGATCCCTAATGCGATTAAAGGTATATTCCTGAATTAAGGGATCCCTAATGCGATTTAAAGGTATATTCCTGAATTAAGGGGTTTTGGAGTCTCTGGGTACCCTGAACACCATGCCCGTGGACCCGAGGGGGCTCCACCGGTATAACGCTTGCGGAATCTGGGATGAAGGTAGGTAGGACTATAGTAAACCCCATAAAGTTGGAAACCGGATTAAGGCCAAATAGTGCTGGGATTCACTATACATTACTCTTAAGGATTGAGGCTATGGGGTTTCCAACTTTTAGGCTTCTACTGTAAGCAGCCATCATTATGTGTAGATTCCCATCTGGGATTCCACCTAAATCCCTGTCCCCTAAACCCCTAAACCTTAAACCCCCCTGAACCCTAAACCACACCTAATGTAGGAACCTGATTAAGAAACCCTGGGTCTACAACCCCAAAATACTGGGATCCATATAAGGAACCCGAATCAAGGCCCAAGGTTTCTTAATCAGGTATCTACATTACTATAGTACCCTTTATAGATCGCTTCTAGTAGCCCTTATAGACCCCTTCTAAGGCCCAAGGTTTCTTAATCAGGTTTCTGCATTACCTTAACCCTAAACCCTAAACCCCGTGGAGCCCTTTGTGCTTTTTCGCAGGTGATGGCAGATCGCATGGGCATGCGGCTCTCGCACCTCTGCCTCTCGCCGGCCATTCTCAGAGTTGCGGTTTTGGATGGGTTTCTGGCTTAGGGGTCTAGGGTTTAGGGTTTACGGCTGAGGGGCTTGAGCTTCAATTTGTTGGATTCCCGCGGTTTGGCAGCGTTTTCGTGGGCTTTGGATCGGGGCTTTCTCCTGGAACTCAGGGGAAGAAGAGTCTGCCATTCGCGCCGCGGGTCTTAACCTTGGGTCACTGGGACTCCGGATGCATACATGGTGGCCGAGGCTTCATGAAGAGCCAGTTCGACATCTTCGACCAGGAAACACTAAAACCTACACCCTAAACCGTTTCAAAGTTTCAACCCTAAACCCTAAACAGGAAACCCTAAAACCTAAGCCCTGAGCCGTTTCAAAGTTTCGGGCCCCAGATCCAAACCAGAACTCCGAATCCACGGCCTTCTGCCCAAAAATCCATCGCGCAAGCGAGCCCTCAGTCTCTTACCTCAAAGGGGAAAAGGAGGGACCCGTAATGGGGACCCCTACCCTATGATGGGCTATATAAGGGCTATATAATGGCCATATAAAGGGTATATACCTCGGGGTCCCTATTAAGGGTCCCTCCTTTCCCCTTTGATTACCCGGAGGGGCATATCCCAAATAACAATGGCCCCTAAAACCTAAACCGTAAACAGAAAGCTAAACCCTGAGCAGAGTACTGCAGCTGGAAAAAGGTCATCAAACAAAAAGGAACCCTATAGATCCCTTCTAGGAGCCCTTAAAGGAACCCTTATGGATCCCTTTAAGGAACCCTGAAGGGAGGTCCTAAAAAAGCCCTCAAACAGAAAACTGAACCCCAGGCCTTCCATTCGGCCTTGCACCTCGGAAACCTAGCGCGGCTCCATCACCCTTTGTCTGGTTTTCGCTCTAATCGGACTTTACAACACTAATTCAGCCTCCTACGGTTGATGATATAAATCCTGCATGACCTTAAGGACCCTAAACTATGGGAATTATGGTATATTCCTTATTATGGGTAATGCAGGATTTATATCATCAACCGTATCGGGGCCTTTGGGCATGTCGGTGCCTCCGCGCAGTTTTGAGTTTAGGGTCCTAGGTTTGAAGCCCACTTAAGGGCCTTGGGTTGCAGGTGTTGAGTGTAGTCTGTTGGGTTCAGGGCTTAGGGCTCTGGGTTCAAGGCTTAGTGGCTTAGAGTTTTGGGTTGAGGGACAGCCCTGGAACTCAAGTTGGTGCATGAATGGAAATCCTCTGCAAAGTTCTAAGCACCCATCCGCGATCATTCGTGACTTAATCCGCTGGGCCCAGCAGCCAACGACCAAGTCGTAGGCCGTCGTAGCCACGTGAATCGGATTTCGTGGCTTATTACCGTGCTTGTCGAGGGATTCTGCCGGTATATATTTTCACGAGCACTATGCATCCGGTATGAAGCCTGAAACCCTAAACCCCTAAACCCTATATCCTAAACCCCTAAACCCTATACCCTAAACCCCTAAGCCCTATATCCCAAACCACAAACCCTATATCCTAAACCCTATATCCCAAACCACAAACCCTATCTCCTGAATCCTAAACCCTATATCCTAAAGCCTAAGCCCTATATCCCAATCCTTAAACTTTATATCCCAAACCCTAAACCCTAAATCCTAAATCCTAAACACTAAACCCTAAAACCCTAAACACTATATCCCAAACCTTAAACTTTATATCCCAAACCCTAAACCCTAAACCCTAAACACTATCTCCCAAACCTTATCACAGAAAGCCTGTGTACCAGGACCAGAGCGGCTATATCAATGCTGCCGAGCTGCGCAGCCTCTTCACAAAGATCGGGGAGGCGCTTTCTAGGGGTTTGGGGTTTAGGGTTTGGGGGTTTAGGGTCTAGGATTCAGGGTTTAGGGTTTGGGGTTTAGGGTTTGGGGTTTAGGGCTCAGGGTCTTTAGGGTTTAGGGTTCAGGACCCACCACGACGACAACCATCACCACCGCCAGGGTTTAGGGTTTAGGGTAGCCGACAACAGCACCTACCCACCATTACATATTAACACTGTCGGGCTGAAGGTGGGCCGTAAGCCTCCAGTCCCAGAGGATACAAGCCGCAGCTTACGTTTGGTTAGTAGGGAATGGAAGAATGGTAGTAATAGTAGTTCTAATTTATAACTGTACCCCATTCCTCCATTCCCTACTAACCCAAGGCAAGGCAGGGGTGCAAGGGTGTGCAATCCTAAACCCCTGAGAGCTGACGCGTAAACCCCCGAAACTGTAAAGCTCTGAGCCCTAATCTTTAAACCTTGACTTACTTACCCGTCATAACACCCTTCAAGAACCCAAGTAGAGGTACGCATGGTGCCCTTAAAGGAACCCTTAAAGGGGACCCTGCCTCTAGTCCCCTTAAAGGAACCTTCAGGGGAACCCAAAGATCCCCTTAAAGGCACCCTTAAAGGAGCCCTTTCCTCATGAAGCAGATTTCATGCCGCCAGGAGATTACGGAACACCAGCTCGCCGGGATCCCAGCCAGGGCAAACCACTCCGAAAGCTGGCTGCCAAGACTCTAAACCCTAAACCCTATCCCCTAATGAAGGAATGTAATACTGAATTTACATGAAATCATAGCAGGGATCCCTAATATGATTTGAGGAATATTCCTCAATGAAGGGATACTGGAGTCTCTGGGCCCCATAGTAGAGGGGCCGGAAGAACTAGTAATTACAGTTCCTTATGATAGCTATAGATATGCCCCAACACCCCATTCTAAAAGTGGTAAGGCCCCATCTTGCCCCTGATTTCAGGAACATGCCCCGCGTCATCTTGAGGGTGCCTCTACAACTTGAGATGCCTCCTTAATGAAAGAGCCCACCCGGAGAGAACACTGTTTGGAAGGTACCTTCGTGAACACCCTGGCTGCGGCTCAAGATTCCAGCTTTGGGACAGAAGCTGACGGCGTGCAACATTGTTGTGCCATGCAGCCCGTGCGAGTGACTTCAGCAGAGGATTTCCTTCGCCGACGGGAGTATTGTCCGGCAGGGTGGAAGGGCAAGATCGGAGATGTCGTCGATGTCAGAGAGTTTCATGTCATCTCTGCTCTGATGCAAGGGCAATCTGATCTTCTCAGCACGAGTCATCAAACACAGTGGGGCGAGTGCAGCCTTTTCGACCTTCTCCTCCGCTTCGCGAAGTTTGACACAGCCGAAGCACTCTTGGCAGCAAATGTCGAGCATTGCGAAGTGAAGCACCATCATGTCGCCCCGACGGTCTCCAAATGCAGTTCGGGACGCAGGTGGGGTTCGGGACGCAGATGCCCGACCTGTTCCTGCCTCTGCACTCAGCAGGACTCATGCTCCCACTGCCTGCGAGGAATGCTCGAGGAGGACGAGAAGTCAGGTACCTGGATGCCAGATTGGGCATCCTGCTTGCAGGAAGCGGTTGCAAATGCGCAGCTTCCTGTGGTGGAGTGGCTCATGACTCTCAGGTGCAAAGGGTACAGAGACGCGCCTGTGAACTGCGATGCCCTTGCCTGGACTCGCCTGATAGACATCTACACCCTTTGCAGTCCTCCTGGTCTGAAGTGGAATTCTTGGCCCTGGTACTGGATTTGCCGGTATAACTCTGCTCCGAAGAGACTTTGGATGGCTCAAGATCTCCTCTTTTGGAGGCGTACAGGCAGTGAGATCTTGGCTCTGCGAGGCCCTCTCAGGGATGGACTTCCTGGAGTCCCATTCAACCCGGCGCTGTTGCGACTGAGGCTTGATGACCCGCATCGCAGAAGTCGGACCGTGGCTGACGCCCTCATTTGGGCCATGACCGTGGGCGGCTTTAACGAGGAGGTGTGTGACTCTGCAGTTCATTATATATTTCACAGCTTTGAGGACCAGGAGTTTCCGGGGAGCTGGCCAGCGTACCTGGGCAACAGCTACATCTCAGGCAAGGGCTTCGACGTGCAACGGCTGCAGATGGCCAAAGACCGTGGAGTCTGTCTCAACCGCATCTGCTTCTTCCACCACTGTGGCAATGATGCAGGGCAGGAGGGGATTATCGCAATATCCCCCCTTGAAGTCGCCTTGAACATTGGCCATGCAAAGGCAGCAGAGCTTTTCGCCTCGCAGTTCTTGCAGGTCTTGGGCTCCGAGGTGCAGGAAGAGCCTCCGACTGCTTGCTGGGCTTTGCCCAACGCTCGCCGGGGGTGTCTTTGTCATAGTTGGGTAACGTTTTACATTTTTGTGGATACTTAAACCCCATAAGGACTAACAACGCAAATTTTTATTCCTATCCCAACCATGAACTAGGTGTTGGGAGAGACTCTTCGGGAACATTGAAGACCTCGCTCTCGCGGACAGTGGGCTCAGGAAAGCCGCGGCCGTGGCCGCCTGGTCCCGAGTTTTGCAATTTCCCCGTCTCAGCGACCCCATCGTCCGGAGGATCTTGGAGTTTCTGATACGCACTGAATAGAAGAGCTACTGAAGCTACTGAAGCTGCTGGGAGTGAAAACTGCTGTCGGTGCTGTCTTGGTAGGTTTTTCGAAGGTGTGCCGGCCGTGACATGTGTAGCAACACGGCGTTTGGTCTGTCCAGGATCACATACTTGGAGGTTCATGGGTAGTTATAAGTGGGGTCATAAGTCCCATAATATGGGTTATAACTACAGTTGCCCTACTTATAACCCCACTTATAACTACCCATGAACCTCCAAGTAGGACTCGTACTTCTTGTCAAGATGTCGGGTAGATCCTTGCGCGGGGTGCCTGGGCGCCGTAAAGGAGTGTACCGAATCTTACAAGACACTGATAGGGTTAGATTTATGCTAGCTAAACCCAAAGCCGTAAACCCAAAGTCCTAATCACTAATCGGTGCTTCTGTCAGGAGGAGGCGGTGCGCGAACTGGACACCGACCAAAGCGGTGAGGCGGGAGCCGAAGATATCACAGGGCGCTCGAGACACTTCGTGGACCAGGGGACTCAGCAGTAGCTTTGTTACGTTCCTTTTGTGAACGGATCTGGAAGGGTTTAGGAGTCTGGGATTAAGGCGGTAAGTACGTGAGAAGTAGAGTTGAAAGTAGGTGCCATAAATGGGGTTATCCTTGCCATAACTTCATACAAAACCTACTTACTTACTAAGTCCCCTGATCCTCTAAGCTGGGTTTGGGACTTGGGAGTCCGGGCTTAAGGGTTCAGGGGTTTCGGGCTTAAGGCGTCGGGTTCGGGGTTTGGGTTTAGGGTTTAGGGAGTGGTGATTTGGGATGAAGGTGGGTAGGGGGGGGGGTTCGGGAAGAGGAGGCTTGTATTAAAATGAGGCAGATTGTCCAGGGTTTGGCGTCTGGAGCTGTAGGCCAAGGGTTCATGTAGCAACAGGTGTCGGGCTTCGGGATTTGGAGTTCAAGTTTCGGTTGAGTTCAGGTCGAAGTAGGGTTTAGGGATTAGGGTTCAGGTTTCTAGATTGGGGCTTCAGGGATTAGGTTTTGGGGGCACAGATTCTTCTTGAGGCTTCAGGGTCATCCAGAGTTCCAGTTCCCCTTGCATGCAGAAAGCAGAAATCCAATTCCCTAAACCCCTACGTCGCTACGCCCTCCAGGAGTAGTGCGTACTAGCAGTCAGCAGTACTGGTAGGACTAGTAGGAGTAGCAGCACTGGTAGTCTTGAGAGCCCTTAATATAGGGGCCACAATAATTAGAAAAGGGTTTCGGTGCCCATTATACTATAATTATAATAAGGAGCCACCAGAATAGTATAGGTAATTATTAAGGCCCCTATAGTAAGCTGCTTCGAGCCAAGCAGGTCGAGTTCTTCGAGTTCGTGGAGTGGTTCTGCAGCTGAGACGCTCGGAGCCGAGCTGTTGAACCCTAGACCCTAAACCCATCAACCCCCCTAAACCCTAAACCCCAAAACCCGGAACCCTTTGGGTTATGAAGGACACAGGTAATGGGGGCGGGGGCTGCAGCTAGGAGGTTTCCTGGGCTGTTTGTAGGGTCCTATGAGGACCCAGATGGGTGTCGGGGTTGCTTAGGGGTTCATGGGAGCAGTTGGTAAGTAGGGTTTCAGGTTTCCATAAGTGCAATTTACGGGTCATAGAAGGATCTAGGAGTTACTTAGACTAGGTTCTAGGTAGAGTTATGCTCACCCGAACTAGGTTATCATAATACCCGACTTGTGACTGACTCGGTAAGTCCCATGATCCTCCAAGTCGGGTCTGAATTCGGCTCCTTATGAAAATGGTTGTGGAGACTAATAATACTGACCCTTCTTCCTATTATTTGCAAAATGGGAGTTTCTGTGCAGTTTCAGAGAACTCGGGTCACTAGTATAGACCCTGACCAGTAGGATGATGCAAGGACTCCTGCACAATGTATCTCCATTTTCTGAAGCACCATGATGAATATGTATGTATGTATGTACGTACGCACGTATGCATGTATGTCGGTATGTCCTTATGTATGTGTGCACATGTGAGGTAGTGTAGGTAATGTAGGTAACGCAGTTAATGTCCATGTCATGTATGTAATGCATACAATGCAAGTAATGTATGTAGTGTATGTCATGTATGTAATGCATGTAATGTATGTAATGTAGGTAATGTAGGTAATGTAGTGTCTGTATGTTATGTCATGTTATGTTATGTTATGTTATGCTATGTTATGTTATGTTACGATGTATGTGTGTATGTATGTATCCTAGATTTCTAGCTGACACAGCTGGATAAGAAGAAGCCAGGTGACGGGAGGGTGAGGGCTTCGCTGCATAGAGAGTCAGGGTCTGAAGCTTCAAGGTTGCTGGTGGCGTTGAAGGCGGGAATCTTGGTGTTACTGGTACTAGGACCTAGAGTAGGCCCTTATTCCCTTTTTTAGGGTTCAGGTTCCCTTATAAGCCCCTTTAAACCAAAAAAGGGCACCCTATACTTGGCTTTTGGCCGTGTTCTCCAATCTCGGAATCTTGGGTTTCTTCGCGGCACCGTGCCTGCAATCCGAAGGTTTCCCAGCAGCAAGCGGGTCCCACACGCTGAGAACTGAGGCTCAACAGACTGATGGAGCTCTCTCTCCAAGGGGGCCCGGATTTCGTAAACCCGAACTATTCTAGGTGATTCCCGAAACTCCGAACCCCAGCAGTGACAAACCCTCAACCCTAAACTAAACAAGGCCGGCCCAGTGCCCCACGCCCACAACACGAGATCCCAAGTAATATGCTCCAAAATCGTGCGTCCCGAACCTAGCCGCAGTGGGATCTATCAGTTTGAGGGTTCAGGGTTCAGTGTCATTGATCTTGAGAGCTTTCTGTTCCCAAGCACAAAATCCGAGAAATGGTATGTAACCCTTTTCCCCTTAAACCCTAAACCGTAAGGCCATAAACCCCAAACGCGAAACCCTAAACCTAAACACCCTAAGCAGCCTGGCAAGCCCAGGTGTCTGATCCCTCGGGATCGCCTGACAAGCGCAGGGTTTAGGGTTTAGTTTAGGGCGTAGGATTTAGGGTTTAGGGGTTTAGGGTTTAGGAGTTTAGGGTTTAGACTGTAGTTTAGGGCTTTGGATTTAGGGCGTAGGATTTGGGGTTTGGGGGTTTAGGGTTTAGGAGTTTAGGGTTTAGACTGTAGTTTAGGGCTTAGGATTTAGGGCGTAGGATTTGGGGTTTAGGGTTTGGGCGGTCGGGCTAACAGGCTGCAGAGCTGGGTAGGGATGCGACGCCAACTGCATCACTTACCTTTGGTTAGTAGGGAATGGTAGTAGTAGTAGTAGTAGTAGTAGTAGTAGTAGTAGTAGTAGTAGTAGTAGTAGTAGTAGTAGTAGTAGTAGTAGTAGTAGTAGTTATAGTTGTGCCCCATTCCTCCATTCCCTACTAAGCGAAGGTAAGATCAGGACTTCAAGGTGTAAGAGTGTAAGGCGCCAAAATTAAAAAAAGTCTGTTTGTTCTCGATGTTTGACTGATGGCAGGGTTCACAGGTTGTTGCTCGGCTTTATTGCAAAGGGGTGAGTGCAGCTAGGTCGCCTTGGAGAAATGTAGAAGGTACATGCAGAGATGAGTACTAATGTTCCGGATCTGCATGTTGTGTTCGCTCTTGTGTAAGAGGTTCAGCCATGGTAGCCAAAAGGCACACCTTCCGTTCCATCATTATTCGGTAAGGCCACACGGTGCCCTGCCCTGTCTCACCCCAAGTTCCGTGCCATCGCACAGAAAACCCTTGCATGCAGCACCCAGGGCAGGTGACTTCTTGCTTTGGTTTGAAGACGTTCTAAGAAGACTCCCGACCACCGCATAGCGTCGTCCGACCCATGCCCATCATCACTTCCCTGAAGCCTTTTTAAGCTGTCTAGCTATCGGCCGATTTTCCTTTGCCTGAACGTTTTTCAATGGACAGCCGGGGCTACGCCTATGAAAAGGTGCCGTCCCATCCAGACCCGGAGCTCCCCGCGCACACGCGATCATTTTCCAAGAAGAGGACACATGGCACCACACTATTCCACGGCCAATGCAAGCTCGCTGGTCATTCGATTCGTTTGAAGTCGTACAGTTCAGGTGATCTCGAAGCTTTGGTCAACACTGTTAACGAGGAGGATCTCGAGGTTACGTCTCGGGCTCCAGTGCCAATCCTTCGTTACTACAGGGCGACTGTGTCCGTGATCAGCCAGCGGATGCCAGAGATTCGAGTGAATTCCGAAGGCAGCTATGCAATTTCAGCGGACTTTGTTTTGGCATCGGTGCTGCTTACTGTGTTGCTATGCTTTATAGGGCCCGTTTTCGTGCCTGTAGCAGTCGCTGTATGCGTCGTGTCGGAGACCGAGCAACGACGGTGGCACGATTGGGTGGTGCAACCTTTGCTCATTGGTTTGGCAATGCTGCCATTGTCTCATAGGCGTACTTAGAAATATTTTTGTCAATTATTGGCTTCTATCATTCCTTAGAAACAGCTAAAATTTTGATTTTAGCCAGGGGTCTAAGTTCAGTAGAGGTATCTCTTGTGGACCATGGGCCAAGCAGTTCACAAGAAGGAAACGTTACGCGAGTTCAGGAATATTCAATACTCAATGCTTGAGCTTTGCGGGCCGTTTCTCTGCTACTTGATCATCTCTCTATCGTTCATGGCTGATGTGTGTCAGCGCTGCATCGAGTTGGGTGCCGGCCAAATGATCTTGGACGAGATGCATGAAATCAGAGAGCAGCAAGACTTCGTCTTTAAGACCAATACTGAGACGGAAAGCAGCGCGGAGCCTGTGTCACAGGACGACCTGAACAGCCAGTTGCAGGAGCTTGCTTTCTACATGGACAGGCATGTTTGTGGACTCAATCACATTCGATGTAGGCTGTTGCAGCAGTATCCAAGAAAGCTCACGAGCGAGTTCATGAAAGCCATGATGCGCATGCTGGTTGTTCCAGACGACGACCCTTGCCTGAATTTAGTCATGTGCCCCCTCCCGAGTGCACCCAAAGCGAATTTTGCAGGTAGCAGGACTGCTGTTGCTGTTCCAGAGCCATTACACTTTGTCTTGTCTGCATTTGCATCGTTGGATCTTTCGCTGGTCTCACGGTCGTAGGGAAGTGCTGGTGTTGTGCCAGCATTACTTGAGGGATCATGGGACTTAGTAACTATGGGTTGTAATTAGGGTAACTATACTTATAACCCCGATTAGGGTACTTACAACCTTACTTACTAAGTCCCATGATCCTCCAAGTATCGACTGCAAGGACTCGGCACGTGCCTTGTTACAACAACGGCTCCGGGAGGCGGCTCCAGAGCGTATCCCACCGCAGTGGCTGGCCGTGTTCATGATCTGCGCCCTGGTTCCCGCGATGCTTCCAACACTGCACCGATGGCTGAATGGCAACCATGACATTTTTTCATCCAAGCATGATGGAGTGTGGCGTTGCCAGCGCGCATACATGTTCATGATGTTCTTTGCATCGTGGCACCTCATCATCTCGTGTGCGAATCTCATCGACAGCTTGAGCAAGCTTCAGCTTGCCACACTTGCCAAGTTGTACATGTCCGCACCTCGCAAGCGTCGCGCTGTGTTAGCAGACACATACAAGCACAATTTTGATCACCTGGTTCTCATCCCTAGTGAGAGCCCCGGCGATCTCAGTCTGGAGGACGAGGCTCGCAGTGACCCGGTGCCTCTGAAAGATGTGGAAGATCACGAAGAGAAGATGTTGTCCCGGACTATTTCGCAGGGATATGGGCACCTGCGATATGTGGTGTCAGGAAGCTCCTGGCGGGTGATGCAGCTTGAGTATGTATCTCATTTGGCTTCCGATCGCGCTGATCGCATCTCAGCGCCGGACATGGAGTCTGCGGAAGCTCCGGATGATGAGTTGAACTCGTTTTCCTTCCTTGCAGCACGCAAGTTTTCCTTGCTGCAATTATTGATGAGAGCAGATTGTGTGGTGTTGGAGATGAAGTCTCAAATCATTCTTATGCTCTTGTCTTTGATACTTGTGTCTTGTGGACTGATTCTTGTCTTTTCAGTCTTCTTCCACAGCCAGCGCGGCGTCATGCTCTTCTTCTGTTGTGTCATGTTTCCTGTGATTCTGATTGTCATCGTCACTATCATGAACCAGTTGGTGGTGCTGGACAATCACCTCTTCGAAGACACGGTCAAGATTCTGCAGTGTTGGAGAATGCGCCTGGAGCGATTAAGATTCTCAGCCACTCTTCACATCCACACCTCCGCCGAGCGAACAGCCCTGGACGGTTTCCTCAGCAGCCTCCCAGCTGTCATTAGCTGTGCTTGTCTGTTTCCGGTAGTTGGGATTACCTCTTCTGGGGTTCTACAGCTCGAGATTGCTTGTGTGGTTCAGCTGGCATGAGGGCGGGTCTCGCCAAGTGGTGGCTTCATCAGGGCAGGTTAGGGGAGGCCGGTAATGCAGGATCATTGGCACCGATGGCCGCGAAGGTTTGTGTGGAACCGTCGTTGGGCTGTGAGCATGTTCTCGCTTGCCTTTTCTGTTCTTGAAGGTTCAGGGGTAGTTATAAGTGGGGTTATAAGTAGGGTAACTATAGTTGTAACCCGTATTAGGGGACTTATATCAACTTATATCCCCACTTCTAACTACCCATGAACCTCCAAGTTGTGTTCCTAACCAAAGCCACCTGAAGCAGAGCCAACTACCCGAGGCCTCTGAGATTCGCAAGCCCAGAAGCATGCCAAAACTCCTTAATCAAGGAATATACCTTAAATCACAATAGGGATCCTTCTTTCTTCGTGAGGCAATGAGTCCAGGTTGGACGCGCCTAATGCTAGCGAATTCAGGAAAAGGTGAAACAAAAACTCAGTGCAGGCAAAGCAGATGCCGTTTGTCGGCAAGTCAACAACCAACCTTCTAGCTCACCCAAAAGAGTAGCGGGGAACCCGAAGACCAGGTGACAGCGCCGGCCACGCGCGGCAGTGCCCAACACTAAGGCAGTCCAAGCCAAAAAGGCAGCCAGCCAGCATTGATGTCGCCGAAGGAGGCGCAACGAGCAGGACGAAGCTTGCCAGACAGGCTCTGCTCGAACAGGAGGCGGAGGGACGAAGATCACCGCGCCCGCAAAATCCAAGCAGGCAGGCGGCGGCGAAAGGAACGCGTAAGAGCGCCAACCTCCGGGTGCACTCCAGTAACAGAGGCAGCAAACACACTGGATCGCCCTGACAGGAGCCCAGGAAGGCCCGCAGGTCGCGGCTGCCATGCCAGCGGCAACACGAGAGGATCCAACCGGGCATGCTGCTTGTGCGCACCGGGGTGTGCAGCAGAGGTGCACAGCAGATCAACAGTGAAGCACAAGAGCACATCACTCGCGGCCTCACGCAAGGTGCCGGCAGGCAATTCCCCGACCCAGGCTTCCAGCGTGCGCCGCAAAACCGCGAAAGGCTCCACAGCATCTCTCACAACATCAAAGATTCCTTCGTCCGTGGAATCCTCGAGCTCACGGAGGCGCCGAAGCAGATCGGGGGCGACCTCTGGGAAGAGAGGGGGCAGATGGGCAGTCCCGCGCCCAGCCCGAGCACGGCACTGCAGGTGCCCCTCGTCACCTAACACACATGGCAGGAGGTCGGAGGATCCAGATTCCACAGCTTGGAGGCAGATCCGGGAGTGACCAAGGTGAAGGCGATGCCGCTTAACACTAGAGAAGACCGTCCCACAAGCCTGACACCTAAGACCCCTGGCAAACCGATACTGCTTCGTTCTGTAGCCATGCTTAAGGTGGGCATGAGATGCCCATGCCTGAGCATTCTCAAAGGAAAGGCAGCACTGCAGGCAACCATGTTGCCCATTGGCGTTGTCCTCAACTTCAAGCGGGCGAGCACACCAAGCAGTACGTACAAAACGGGACCAGCTTGCGCGCAAGGCGCGCGCACCTCTGTGCCAAAGCGCGGCCCGTTTGAGCCAGCCCTGCCACAACTTGGGGCGCCATCGGATCACCTCGTGCCAATCTTCCCAATGAGTACGAAAGGGATGAAGAGGGCAAGTCAGGTGGATGGCGGCATAAAACCAATCGAGGGCGCTGTGGAAGGCCTCAAGTGCGGGAGGACTGTTCTGGAGTAGGGCCCACGCGGCGTCAGGGCCATGGCGAAGCAGCCGTCCCAGAAAGCGAAGCCTCTCAAGGGCCAGCAGGTCAGCTGCATCAGAGGCGTCACACGCGGCAAAAACCTCGTCGTGCGTCCAGTGCTGATCCTGCCCAGCCCGGATCCGAAGCATCTGGCGGTGGATGGCAGTCACACAATGGTCTAGGGAGGACCACGCTCCTTGGCTCAAGAGCGGCCACGCACCGCACCCAGACAGAAGTCCAGACAAGACATACTGATGACACAGTGCAACACGTTTATGCAGCGCGAGTCCAGGGCAGCAAAAGACATGCTTAGCTCCATCCCTGAACTCAGACCGCGCGCGCCCAGCACGAGAGCGTACATCAGTGAGGAGCGCTCCGTTGTAAGTCAAAACAGAGCCCAAGTGCTTATAAGTGGCCACGGCGTCGACCCAGACCGGCGTTTGATGTTCTCGCATGACTAAAACCTTGCCCTTACAGGTAGAGAAAACAAGGGATGGGCCAGCAGAGCAGCTGTCTTACGCGGTCCGAAGTTGGCACTCAAACCGTGCGCCGCAACAGCATCAAGAGAGCTTCCCAGCACACAAGCGACGGCTCTGCTCAAACCCGGCGCATCCGCCGACGTCACGCAGGCAGCATGATCATCGGCGTAGACTATATCCCCGACATCTACTTTAACCGAACCAGAGTGGGCAGGCATGGCCTGTGTGAGCTCACGGCGGCCAGACCACATGAACGAGGGGAGATGCTTTTCGGCGGCAGGCGAGCGCTTTTCCAGGACTTTCTGGAAGAGGAGGTTAAATGCCACATCTGCAATACTACTGCCAGGGCGGGTGCCCCGGGAAGTCCGCACTAGTGTGGGATCCCCTGAGAGATGAAACCACGTATCGCTGTGCACTTCAGCCATAAGAGCATGGAGAAGTGACGTGCCGTCCGAGGGCTGCAGGACTGGATCAGACGTGGCATAGGCAATCACCTGTTGCAGATCCTCAGGCGGCAGCTTCAGCGTGGAGGCCACGCGTTGCAGTGGGTCAGAGTCGGCACCGGCGCCGACCACGACTTCACGCACCACTGTGTAGTAAGCTGCAGCGAGGTCAGAAAACACAAGAGCAGCTGACAAATTGTGATGTCGAGCGGCGTGAAGGAAATTGCGGGACATAAAGTGGCCAAGTTCGTACGAGAGCCCACGACGGCCTCCTATTTGGAGAGGCGCCGCGCAAGCCTCAAATCGCTCCGCGGGGAGCTGCCGGAAAGCCCGGTGCAGGGCTTTGCCCAGTACGGGTTGCAGAAGAATACCCCGTTGGGCCGCCGCCAACGTGGAACCTCCTGCGGAGGCTTTGGGAATATGATGCATCGTGCCTCCTTTAAACCCCACTCCTTCAGTAGCCAGCAACGCTCCTTTGAGAAGCAGAGGCCACAACAACCCAGCAACCGGAACCGCAAAGCGGGCACACAGCGCAGGAGGGAGGAGGTCCGGTCCACAAGCACGGTGTGGCTGCGTGCGGCGCAGCGCGCCAACAAGATCAGCAAAGGAGGGTACCTCAGAAGCCTGAACACAGGTCATGGTGCCTTGGGCTCGCTGACGGGAGATGCACGAGCTGACGAGAGAAGCGGTGGAAATAGGAGCCCCACTTTCGAGCTCGGCGAAGTGTCTCCGCCATTCGGTAGCAACCGCCTCAGGGGTATCACAGAGTTGCCCGTCGGGAGTTGTCAGTTTCGGCAGAGGCTGCATACCCCCGCGGCGGAATTTCTTAGGCTTAAGAAACTTAGAGATTGCCTCATGAATGCGACCCGGGGGCGCATTCTCAGCAGTTGCCGCAAGTTCAGAAAAATATGCAGTGCGGTCTTGTCGGCATCCCCTGCGGACCGCTTTGCCAGCACAACGAAGGCGAAGGGAAGAAAGCGCTATGGACAGTCGTAACTGATGAAGCCACCGCCCGCAAAACCACGCCTCGAATGGCGTCCGAGATGCCCAAGCGAAGAATGCACAACGGGAAATGGCCGAGCAGTAGGCAACAATTCGCCATCGCAGGGCATGCCGGAGAACGCCAGTGTGCCGATGCGCCTCTGCCGTGGCCTCGGTAAGGTAGTGCTTGCGCATGCGCCGAGCGGCCATTTGTCGACAAGCCCCACATAGAGAGAGTCGACCAGCACAGCTGCGTGGTCGTTGATATTGGTGTCCCACGGCACCGGCGGCACGGACAGGAGTACCTGCCGAACCTTATCCGAGTTCTCCGGATTGAGCAACGCCGCAGCATCAATGCGCTTGCCCCCAGCACGACAAGGGGGAGAAACCAAACGCAAAGAACAAGAGGCAAGGACAGCCAGGTGATCAACAATGACATGTCCCGCGGAGATCGTAGGCTCCACTCGTCCAGTGACGCCGGACTGCCTCCACAACATGGGGAGGCCTACAAAATCGTTGCGAGCGAATGCACCAGACCGCTTCTGCATCAAGGTGCCCCCATGCCCTGAGAAGCACTCGCTGAAAGTGGAGGGCAACCATACATCACACTTTCGAAGAAGTGCATGGAAGAGCTCGCCCACATCATCATGGGCGTCTGCGTGGAGTGGCCCGATGTATGGGCTTGTCAAATCCCCAACTCGACAGTTGGCGTCTGCCATGAAGACCCACGGCTCTGAGAACCCGACCTTGGCACAGATGGCTTCAGTGGATAGCCACCACTCGCGTCGGGACTTAAAGCCGTGACCACAATGCGGTGCGTGCATGACAAAAACACAAACCTGCGTGGCAGAGAAGGCTAGACGCACACACAGGCGGGTGTGGTCAGCATGGAGCACGACGGCCTTATGGCTAGGAAAACCGGAGCCCTTACCTACCCAAAGCTCAACACCCAAGGACCTACCCTCAAAAGCCCCCGAGCTATATCGGGCATAGTGGGCGGTGCTGCCTTCTCCAGGGGGCTTCCTGCAGCCCAACTAAGAAGGCATGCTGTGCTGCCAAGGTCCCATCAAGGAGCGCAATGCGGCCTGTCGCGCCGTGTAGTCCCGAGACCCCGCCATGGGCCTCGCCGCCGCCAGGCGCTACGAGCGACAGAGCATTAAAGCTAACGATGACACACTCAAAGGCAGCAGGCTTCCCACGTGCAGACCCAGACGGAACGGGAGGGTCAGTACATGGTGCCGCACGCAGAAAAGGTTCCATGACTTCAGCCCCAGTCAGAAGCGACGGCGGCTCAGCATCACCCCAACGGATTACCCCATCCGTCAAATAGGGCCCCTGTCCGGGGTAGAGGCGGCTCCAGCACGCATGAGGGACCCATCGAAAGGCCTCCCCAGAACCTCTAAACCAGTCGGCGAGGCTGAGCGAGAAGGGTTGTGGACACGCCCAGAAGCGCCTCGCAGGGCGAGCGCATCCGCGAGCTCATTAGCATAGTCACCGTCGTGCCCTTTGACATGAAGGTAAGAGGGGGGCCCAGCAAGACGGAAGCTCAAGCCGCGATGCAAATCAGCGCAGGCCGAGCTCACACCCCCGGTAGTGCCAGAAAATTCACCGGCAGCGACCCCCAGCACAGCTTGGTTGTCGCAGAGAGAATAAATGGGGCCTTCGAATTTGCTTTGGAAAGCGGCAACAGCGGCCCAAAAAGGCCAGCCAGCTCGGACGCATAGGAGCTGACCTCCCACTCCTGATCGGCAGGGGCACCCCACAGGTCGAGAGTGCTGCCGTACGCGTAGCCGACGAAAACCCAGGAGGGCATGGAGATTCGGGTGTGAGCGCAGAGATAACAAGGCCCCACCCTGCAGCACCGCTAGAGGGGTTGAAGGAACCATCCGAAGTGAAGCACAACGCGTGTGACCCTTGCGGCAGGAACCCACGAACCTAAGGAAACCCAGGCACTAAACCTCTCTGGCTTATACAAGTCATCCGGTAGACTTGGAAGCGCACCCAGCGGAACGAACCGGCAGAGGTCGGCCAACATAGCGTTCGTGAGGGGAGTAACACAGGTGCCCAGCGTCAGGTCGAAGCGGGGGACGCACACAGCTGCAGCGGGAGGGGGGACCACCTCACACAAAGAAAGTTGCAGAGGGGCGTCATCCTCGTCCAAGTCGAAGCAGACCGGCGCGCTGGGTACAGCAATCTCCGAATCTGAAGGGGCCCCAGGCGCAGCATTTGAGCGGCGTGGGGACCGAGTCGCAAAGTGCTCGACTAATGTCTGGAGCAGGGCACGCGCATCCAGAAAGGCGCGAAAATCAGGGTGCCGCCGGGCCTCCTCCAGGAGAGTGACTAACCCGCCGCTTCCTTGCTGGGGGGCACCCGACGCACAGCGTACGCCACGACAGGGCGTCGGCAGGGGTCTAACACATGAACCTGGGCATCCGACCTCAGCGACGGGGGTACGCCCAGCTGCGACACCTGGAAGGAGAGACCAGCAGAGTATCAGGCCCACGGCCCAGCCGACAAAGCGGCGGCGAACACAAAGGAACTGCAGGCAGATGCAGCCAAAGCAAAGTGCAAGGAGGCCCGGGAATAGCGCTCTGTCGGGAGCGCTACGGCAAGCGTTGACGTGAGCTAACGCCTCCCGAAGAGACAGCCCAGGCCGCAAAACCACATCAATGCTAAACGGGAGTCTGTCGGGGACATAGACAGCGAAGGATGCACCAAAGCCCTGCGGCTGGTCTGCAGGCACATCCCGATAGTAGTCAACCACTACAACCTGCCCAGGGCCTAAACTAAGGAAACCGTGCGGGTCAAGGTCAAAGTCAGCATTGACCGTTGGCAGCCATCCAGCAGGCGTAGTCTGCCGCAAGTCATCGAGTAGATCACGGCCAGAGATAAGCCCATCGACTACCTGAAGGAGTGTCCAGTCCTCACCAATGATCCGCCCGTCAAGGAGGGCAAGATGCCAGGTCCCAGGATGTCTGAGGCTCGTGTCAGCGGCCGCAGCAGTGACAGTGCGGCAAACACGGCCTGCAATAGCCATGTTAGGCACACGGGGGGTGGACGGGAACAGGCGCAGCTGGGAAGGAACAACTTGGACATGCTCAGCCAGGGTCTGTCTAAAAGAGAGCGGCCTGGTTTGGTCAACTCGGACGGGGTGGCTTCCACGATCAGAAACAACACAATAGAGGCCATCCGGAGCAATAATCGGCAATGGAGGATGACCCCGCCACAATGGAGGGTCAGCAAGCATTTGCGCCAACGAAATGGCCGCATCAGGCATTCTTCCGCGTAGGACAAAGCGAACTGTCTCCCCTGGGAACATGTGGAGATCAACTCCGTCGGGCAGCGGCTCCTCAGCGTAACCGACGTAAATGTCGACAGGTGCGGAAGCCTCAAGAGAGGCAGCACGGAGCAGCACATAGCGGTCACAGTAATGTGGGATCCTGGCCGCGAAAACACGCCCATCTATCTGCAGCAAGTCAAGGCACGCAACCAAGGCGACGCCTTGCCAGTGAGGGCAGCACACAAAAACGCCATGTCCAGTGATGGGTTGAGGCGAGGCATCGACGACATGGGGAAAAGTGTCCCTATCCTCGGGCCCACGAGATTCTCGGACTGCTGTGGCTGCCTCAGCAAAGGTGGCAGGCATGCGCAGCCGAACCATGCGGGAGTCGGGCATGTAGCCAGGGGTTAGTACCGTGAAGCAGACCCAGACAACCTCATCCAAGTCAGCAGCGATTCCCTCTTCGAAAGGGGAAGGTGCATCTGCATGGGGCCAGTCAGGCGCATCCGCAGGCATGTAGGGCCAGGCGCCTCCAAGGACATTAGCAGCATCTCGTAGTGCGGCAATGACACGGCGATCCTGAGGGCCGGAACAAGCAGGCTCGGAAAGCAAACGGCATGTCCGAGGAGGCCGGCCGGCTTGACAGCCTCTAGCCTGAAAAAGCTGCCACAGACATAGGCAGGCGCCTAAGCTGAAGATGCTAAGCAGGGCATGGCACAACAGCCCCAGGCAACTAGAAAACCAGCCTATGTCCTGAAGAGGCCCGTCAACGCTAAACGTATGCAGCAGCCGGCCTGCAAGAACGGCCATCCAAATCAAAGCTGCGACCCACGTAGCGGCGAGACCACTTGGACAAAGCAAGGGCAGAGGCGTGAAACCCCCAGCGGCAGGAAAGGCGCAATCCCAACCACGGCGGGAAGGGAGGAAGCGGTTGTCAAAGACAGAGGGAAACCTGGCCCGGCCATCAGGCACACCAACACGCGCAGCAGCATCGACCCCAAGTGTGTGCGAACTTAGGACGAGCCCGGCAGTGAGTACTCCACCTGCCCGAGACACAGGAGCCTTACGGTTGCGCAAGCGACTGCGGGAGCGGTTGCGGGATCCGGGGGCAGGATCAGGGGGGTTGTCGGCATCATCCCCATCCGATTCCGAATCACTACTATCCTCATCCCCAGAACTATCGGGAGGTGAACCCTCCTGTTCATCCTCCGGTGGCTCACCCAACAAGTCGTCGCAAAATTCGAGCTGCACAACCTGCCCAGGGAGCAACTGAATAATAGCCTTCCCATCTACGCATCGGGAGCTGCCTCCTTCCGCACTCAGGTAGAAGCCAGAAGGAGCCGGGCCAAATTCGGCAAGCAGTGCGTCGAAATCAATATCGCCATTCAAGGCACACCTCCAGACGATCGGGCGAAGCAATGGGCGGAGGTCGAGGATGTAAGGCACCTGGCGGGGTAAAGGCCATGCAGGTGGGCACGGCAACCGCGGTAGGGCTTCGGTCACAATGACAACCTCCTTGCAAGACTGGCCCAGCACACAAAGGTCCGCGATGCGCGGAAACGGTCTGAACACAGATGTGCGATCGACGTCGCCACGCAGGAAGGCCGTAGCAAAATGTCGAAAATCCGCTCCTGAGCCAAAGAGGTGTAAGGGGACATCCACCAAGACTGCATGGTGAATGGTGACCTCCCACGCATCCGTAAGAAAGCAGAACGCATGCTGCAGAGGGCCCGAAGGCGCGACGAGAGGCTGAACCCAACCATCCAGCCTCCTCAGCATATCAGGGAGCAAAGGAGCGTCCGGTCTCGCAGCATTGGGCGACAGGACGAAGACAGTGTCCCCTTGCGGAGCGCGAGGCGGCAGTTGGCATCTTGGATGGAACCCCTGTGCATGAGGCGGAGTCCAACATCAGGACGCAATCCAATCTGAGTAAGGAGGGATCCCGGCATGAGATCGGGATCAACCCGGACACTGAAAAGACGACCGTCTAACTCCCTGGAGTCAACCACCACAACGCAGCAACCTGTGGCCCACTTAGGCACCGCAATGAGTGTTGCGAAGTGTTCGTCCGGCTGAGGGGACGCAACAATGAGGTGTGAGTATGTGTCCTGAAGACTGTCCTGGCGGACAGCATCAAGCGCTTCACACGCACGCTGAGGAGTGCAGGGGAGCAGCAACGGCAAGGAAAATGTCGCAGGGGCGACCCCTGGCGTAAGGACAAGGGCATCCGACCGGAACTTGAACCTCAACCACACCAACTGCCTCCGTAGGGGGAGAGAACCCAGGTGCGGGGGCGGAGCCTGCCCCAGAGGCGCGCGCTTCATCGACAGCAGCAGTGAGATGTGAGGCTGGGACAGGCCGCCCAGGATCGACCTCAAAGCCAAGGGAGAGCACCTGTCCATCAGCGACCGGGAGGCCTAATGCCTCAAGGCGGGGATGCTCCGCGTATGAGCGGTAGCCTTGCGGCGGCCATAATAAGCCGAGCCAACGCACGGCGTCTTGCGTGATGAAGTAACCGGGGCCGCTAAAGCAGAACCCTATACCCCGACCAGCCTGACGCCCATCAAGAAATATGAAGAACCCCGGAAGTCCGCGGCAGCGATCCGCTCGAAGAGCAGCCCCTGGTGAACAACTTCCGAGAGGCTGCTGCCAAGGGCAGGTCTGCTAAAGCACACTGTGTCGAGTGTGCAGTTCATACGCTCCGCAATGAGCGCTTGCAGCTCAAGGTTCCAGGGACCCTCGTAGCGGATAATCCTTGTGGACTGCGAACACAGGACAAGCCAGTAGGAGGTCGGGGCTTCAAGGTGCAAGTTTTGGGGCTCTCGTTCCCACAGCTCGGGGCGGCAAACCAAGTCTCCCAGAGGAGGCTCCCGAGGGGCCATCATGTCACGCGGGATAAAAACAAACACATCCCCAGACGTGGCCTGCACAGAGCCACCGGCCTGCAGGGGGAAGAGCTCGTTGGGGGCGTACACATGCCAAAGCCCGTCAAAGTGCACAGCGACCTCCCGCTCCAAATCCCTATAAGACAGAAGATCGAAAAAGATCTTGGCATACGTTGGGCCGTGCAGCAGCGACATATCCAGCACAACGACGCATTTGGAGGCGACTGGTATCCAGGTGGGCACGAGGACGAGGCTGGCATAGCCGACACCCAATTGCGGGGAGGTTGGAAGAACCTCAGCGGGGGCAAGCTGTTGCAGGCGAGCAGACCGAGAAGCAACCTGAGCAAGGAGCTGGTCAACCGTACCCGGAGGGTCTCCTTCCAAAATGGCATGCTCCGTGCGAAAGCCTTCAGCAAAGACAAGGCAGTGCACCACAGGTGAGGGAGCAGACGCAACTGGCCCATCAGAAGGGGAAGCATCACCAGCCCCAGCAACGGCCACAGAGGGATCTTCAGGGCCAGGAGTGGCAGCGGCAGGTGACAGTGCGTCGACTGCGCCTGTGACTTCCAAACTGGCAGGACCAGGCAGCGGTGCGCCTCCAGTAGGCGCCGCCCACAAACACACAGGCAGGTTCAGGTAAAGAGGCACCCGTACACAAACCCGTGCAAGCAGAGGCAAGGCACAAGAAGATCCACGAGGACGGCGAGGGCGTGACGGCCTCCAGTCAAGTGGCGGGCGGGCGCAGCATCCCACAGAGACCGCAACAGCCAAGGCCGGCACCGGAGCCCGCCAGGACAGACATCGCAACAACCGACCCAGCGGCATATCGCGCCCAGGCAGCGCGAAACGGAGAAGGTAGCTTAGCGAGAGCGGGCACATTCCGCTCAGCATGACGCCCACAGACCAAAGTTGCCGGGACAGCCAAAGCAGAATACGAACACCGAACACCAACCGTGTCGTGATAAGGGCAAGGTTCGGGATTCAGAGCTGCACCTCTTAGGCACCGGGCCAGCAGTAGCATGCGAGTGCAACAGGCGGGAAAGCCCAACTGGCACGTCCACCCACTCGCGGCGAAAGGACACGAAAAGCGGAGTGGACGAGCTGCAACCACTAAGGGGGGAAGGCCCTAAACCACAAAGGGGTGGAGGACCTAAGAGGGCTACCTGGCAGCAAGCAGGCGCCTCAGGTGAGGCCACGGTTGCAGACCCCGAGGGCGGCAGCCCCGACGAACAGATGACTGCAGAAATCCCGGTGGGTGCCCCTGCGCCACCGATGCACCTCTTAGGCACCGGGAAACGAAAATAAATGCCTAAACCAAAAAGGGAGGGAAGGCCTAAACCACTAGGGAAAGGCAGGACCCAGGGATGGCGAAGGCAGCGGGAAAGCCCGACAGGCACGTCCGCATGAGAGAGGGTGGTGCGAGGCTGCCGTAGAAAAGGAAGTTGAAAAAAGGCGCCAAGCAATGACAGAGAAGGCGGGGAGCGTTCGGGCAGAGGTCCACGAGGGACACCAGAGCACCGCCAGGCCGCCAAAACAGGAAGTCCAGACGGCGCAACCCAATCCGGACGGCGTGCAGAGAGCGCCTCAGCGACAACACCCAAGAGGAAGGGAGCCTAAAGGCCCCAGGCACAAAGAAAGCGCAGAATCCAAAACCCGGCGCTGCGAAGGTATCTCCGCGGAGGAGGAGGAGTGGCCCCGAAGTCAAAGAAGGGCCACCCAATGAGGACTGAATCGAAGTCCAGCGATCGAGGAGGGAAGTCCAGAAAGGCCACCGAAGGACCTGTACAGGACAGGGAAAACCCAAACAACGGTGAGACCGGCCGGATCCGACGTACAACTTGGTAGAGGCAGCGAGTGACGGACATTGACCAACAGGAGGAGGGCAAACAAGTGACTCAGCCCACAGAGTCACCAGAAGCCGCATACCCGTTAGCATGTCCGCCAAACTTTGCCAATGCCAAGAAACCGTGGACCCGACCCTAGCCCGAAACTCACTCAAACTCACGTGGGCCCGGCCGCAGTAGGATCTTCGGAGAAGAGGTCGTTGGCGGGCAGATCGTCTGCATCGTCGTCGTCTATAGTGGCATTGGCAAGGAGATCCACACGTCGTCCTGCAGGGTGCTCCGTCTGCTCGGCAGCAGCATGTGTAGCAGCAGCGAGATGCGGCCCCAAGCCGAGGGGTCAAGGCATTCCCGCGCATAAGCTCGGCTCGGCGAGACTGAAGCTTGTCCGCCAAGTTCGACTGAGGCACAAGGGCTGCAGGCTTCGGTCTTTGGTTCTTGATAGCTGTACGGCGTCCCTGAGGAGGCCCTTCGTCCCTCCGGCTCCCCAGAGCCTGCGTGTGCCCCTGCACTCGCCTCGGGCTGTCCAGGCGGAGGTTCTGCGATACCCGCAGGCGCCAATGCAGGTCCACGATCGCCCCCAGAGACCGAAAGGTTTTGCATGGCACCCGAAACCGAAGGAGTCAAGGGATCCGCAGTGCCCATCGGAGAAGGATAGCTTTCCGGCGCCGGGGGGCCCAAGCCAGGCGGCATAACTGGAGCCTCCCGCAGGACCGGCCGCAGCAGGGCCTCCGATGGCAGAGGAGATCTCGGTGCCACCGGCCTCGGGCGGGCAGGTGTCGAGGGTGGCAAAGCCGCTGCCAGGGCACGCCGCAGCGTGAAACCTCGCGTGTCTTCCGCAGCAGGGGCCGCGATCAGCTCCTCCCATTCTGTATCCATAGCCTGAGGTGCAGAAGCGGGCATCAAAGCCGGCGATCCCCCCATGATCAGGGCTTTGACCCGCGCCGCAGCCTCCTCGCCAGAGCTGGCTGTAAGGGCGAGCTCCTTGTCGATGCGATCCAGGTCGCCCAGGTGAAGCTGCTTCTGATCGGCGAACTCCTTCTTCCGGCGGGCCATCCATTGGCCCCAGAGCGCCACCTTCTGAGCCCGCTCCTCCTCCAACTTTCTGATCTTGACGTCTGCTTTTCGAGTAGCAGTCAAAGCACGCTGGACTGCCTGCATCAGCGTGAGTCCCTGCGCGGGGGCCGCATTGTCCGACCCCTCTCTCCACGGCGCACGGGACGATGAACTCGGTGCCGGCTCCAGCTTGTCCTGGTCGTAGCGAGCATTCTGTTTGGCCTGCTTGGGCGAGACAGAATAGGCTCCATCCCAAACATGCCAGGAGGGGCGAGACCCACGACCGTAGTCCTCGTTGTAGTCGCGGTTCTGCCATTTCTTGGCACTTCCCCGTCCCATATGACCGACAGACTCGAAGTAAGCCGGTCGCGTATGGTGGCTGGTTAGCCTTGCCAAGTCAGAAGAGCGAGGGCGCTGGTCGATGGCACGGGCGATATGCACACGGAGCCTAGCACAACTACGACGTTTGCGTAGCCTTCTGTGCCAAGCGGGGCTCCTCGTCGTGACACTCGTGTGTCACTGGGGTCACAGGCTATGCGCCCACTGGAGGGCAGCTCGATCCCAAACCCTAATAGGGATCCTATTATACTTTAAAGCATATTTCTAAATTGGGGCGGTTTTGCAGCCTCTGGGTCCGCTGTGAAGCCTCAACGGCCCAAAGCGCTCAGAAGTCTTTGCGGTCTCACCGTTCAAGCTTCTTGAGCCAGGTCTCATCGATCCGATTGACGGTCTCATTGACTACACCAAGAACCTTAGGGTTACTTAGAAATAACTTTTAACTTTTGGTTATTAGTTAAATCCTTCAGAAACAGCTAAAATTCTAATTTTTGCTAGGGTTCTAAATTCAGTATAGGAACTGGTCTCCCTAAGCCCTAAACCCTCACTGACCATACCAGGAACTGGCAGAAGCGTGTCTTGGTCTTCGGCATGGAAACCTCTCGGCCTCGCCGCAATCAACTGCTCTTCTCAGCTTTCCTCTACTTTGCCTGGCTCTCGCGGCTTTGTCTATAAGGGTTCCTTAAGGGATCTATAATTGTTCCTTTGAGGGTTTAGGGTTTGGGTAACATTTTACATGTTTCTGGGTACTTAAGCGCAGTAAGGAATATAAAATGTATATCTTTATGGTCCTATCCCAACCATGAACTAGGTGGGAGTTCCTGGAGGACGCATCTTGGTTTACTGACCTGCAGGGTGAGTTTGTCGAAGTAGCTCGTTCTCACAACGTGTTCACTTAAATGTGGCTGGCAACTCCAGCCATCTTGAGGTTGACGATAGAACCGACAGAGACTCCGTCAAACGGAGGCTCAGGATTCTAATGCAGATAATTTTGCATCATGAGCCTCTCTCCTCCTTAAGTTGGGAAGGCCAGAGGCCTAAGTAAAGAAGCGCGTGAGCGCAATTCCAAGCCGGAAAGACGCCTTCAGCACCACATGCTCTGCTGCAGCCTGAGCAGATTCACGCAAGGCCGGGTCCGGTGGTCGAAAGTCGCCACTTACAGCAGTCCCTTTGCTTGCCCTTGTAGTGCCCCCGAAGTAACCCGTTTAAGACCCCAAGACATGGCTGCAGTTGAACCTCCGCGCCGCTTTCTCAGACCTTCCGTGTGACCAGGTAGCGTAGTCCTTCTGAAGATTAGGGTTCAGGGTTTCAGGTTCGGGTTATTTTGTTTAAGAGGTCCCTTTGTTATGCTAGAGGATCGAGGGATCGAGTTGAGGTTTCAGTTTTGGTGGCCGGTGTTTGGGTTTGGGTTTATCACGATGAGCATTCGGGCTGCGTAGAGCCTGAGCTGTCAGAGGCTTTGAGCCTTGAGCGCAGGGTCTTAAGAGCTAGGGTAAGCTCCTGGCGCCATGTCCGTGATGGCAATGGCAACTTGGCCGAATTTAAGCTTGGTTTTGGGTTCAGAAATTACTGTAGTCCACTCAATAACGAAGCCTCAATAATTACAAACATTGTTTTGGGCTCCTAGTTATAAGTATAATTAGTATATAAAGGAGCCCAGAACCCTATTCTAATTACTAGGCTCTTGCATTAAACCCGATCATTCAACCCATTGGCTTGTCTTTGTTGCAGAAGTGGTCGCAGTCGGCAAGAGTTTTTGAAAAGTTGCTTGACTGTCATTGCGGTACGGTACATGTAAGATAAGGGCTAATTTATAAGTAGTCCCATGCCATCCAACCCCACCTCCCCGAAAACCCTCACAAATCCTTCAGCCCTAAATTCACCCCCCCTGCAACCGTAAGCTCGAATCCGAAGCCTCTTTGCCCCAAACCCCTCAACCACTAAACCCTAAGCCCGAAACCCCCCCAAGGCGAGACTCCCGAACCCTGAAACGCCGCAGCCTGAACCCCTGAACCCTGAACCTTGCCAGTTTGGGGTTTAGGGTTCCCTAAACCCTAACGCCGCCACCCTGAAAACCCTGCATCATACGTCCTAAGCTTGAAAGCCCTACATCATAAACCCTCCCTGCCTGAGGGAGCTCCCGCTTCGGGTCCCTTCTCAGCGGGCAGCGGGACTCAGCGAACATGTCCGGCGGTTCTGAGTTTAGGGCCTTCCTGGGCCCTCGTAGGATTTGCTGTTTTGACCAGGTTGGTTTATTCTATGGGTTGTGGTATCTTTAGTATAAGATATGTCGTTTCATGTTGAGTACAATACAATGTATTCCGAAGGGCTTAGGAGCTGTCAGAGATATTGCTTTTCTTAGTTCTCCAATACCCAACCTTTAAACTTATTGGGTTTATATACTTTAGTAGTAATCTGAAAGTTAAACCTTTTTTTTCCTGGATTATTTGGGAAGTAAGTTTTTGCTCGTGTTACAGTCCGAAAAGGCTGGGGTTCCAGGGTTCGGGGTGAAACCCTAAACCCCTACACCCCTAAATCCTAAACGGTTCGGGATTGTTGGTTTTGGCTGGTGCTCCCGCGTCGCAACGCTTGGGCTTCCATCGGACACACTTGGAAACATCAGGTCAACATGCCGGCAGAACGGATCAGAGGGTTCAGGGGCGTTCGGACGCTTGCACGAAGAATCTTTAGCGAAATCCGTATGAAGATAACTCGAAAAGCCACACCTGATTGCCCTGCAACCTGCTGGCTGGTTTCCCGGCGCGCCGGCTCCTGAAATCCGGAGTTGGCTCCCGAAACCTGACCCAGGTCAGAGCAAGCTCCAACCGCAAAGCCCTAAACACCCAGCTGCACACCTGAAGACGAAAAACCCTAAAGCCTCCAGCGTAGACCTTCGAATCCCAGATTCTATTCATCCGAAATCATCCGAATATGGAGGCCTGAATAGTTGCCTTGTTAGCCCTCCCTAGCATCTCAAGGTGTTTGAACATGGGTTCTGCTATAGCTGCTACAGTATATGGTGGGGTCGGAGTAATTCAGAAACCATTAGTAACCCTAAACCCTAAACCCTAACCCTAAACCCTAACATCAGCCGCCCCCCCCCCCTTTTCTTACGATGGAGGCGCCCCGCTGCAGAGCTACCAGGGCCCTGGCGGCTACCCGGCCTCCCTGGAAGGTTGGGTCAGGGCGCAGGGGTAAGGGTTTCGGGGTTTAGGGTGCAAACCACGACCCTGGTTTCCGAGATCCTAAACCCCGAAAGCGCGAAGATCTCAAGGCCCTGATCTTTAAGGATTGTCGAAGGGCGTAACTGCGAAGTCTGCGGACTATTGTCGGAGAGTGGCAGAAGCGAAAAAAACGTTTTGGGCTTTCCGAGCGTCTGGTCGGGATGTGTCCTGAAGATCATTTTCAGGCTGTCGTGTTAAATGCATGTTTAAGGGAACGGGCAGGAACAGAAGAAGGAGCAGGATTGAGAATAGGGATGATGGTTGCAATGCTAGTCGTCATAATATTAGTGCCAAACCCTAAAACCCTAAACCTAGCAGACGGAAAACGGCGTTCAAAAAAAGAAACCTAAACCTCGATCGGGAATTCAAGATTCAGAACAGCTCACTCTTGGACAGGCAGCCAGATGGGACCAGGCCTGACCATCAGGGGGGCTTGGGGTGCTTGGGCCCGGCAGCTTAGCAATCTGAGCGCATTACACCCTCCAACGCCCTCCAGCACCCGATGGCATCTGGATCCCGAACTATTCCCAAGGCTGTCTAACCGGATGAGTCGTGAGGTGGAATAGGGCAACCTAGGGTTTATGGTTATGCACACCCTAAACCCTAAACTCTAAACCCTAAACCCTAAACCCTAAACCCTAAACCCTAAACCCTAACTCTAAACCCTAAACCCTAAACCCTAAACCCTAAACTCTAAACCCTGAACCCTAAACTCTAAACCTTAAAGCCTAAGCCCTAAACCCTAAACTCTAAACCCTAAACCCTAAACTCTAAACTTTAAACCCTAAACCCTAAACCCTAAACTCTAAACCTTATACACCCTAAGCCCTAAACCCTAAACTCTAAACCTTAAACCCTAAACCCTAGCACAGGAAGGCCCAGACCCGCTGAGCCCAAAGCCTTGCGCCCTCAGCTCGCACCCTGCGCAGCCCAAGGAAGCCCTACACCTGAGGGCTCTTCCCAGAGAACCCAATACCCCTTAATTAAGGAATATACCTTAAATCATAACATTAAGGCCTCTATAATTTAAGGTATATTCCTTAATTAAGGTGTATTGGGATCTCTGGGTTCAGGATGTGCTTTCTAGGCGGTCGTTCTCAGATTCTGGGGTGTTTGGTGGTGTCGTTTGGAAAATTTGGGTTTAGGGTTTAGGGTTCAGGGTTCAGGGTTTAGGGTTTAGGGTTGTTGTTGTTGCTTCCCCTCAAGGTGCTTATGTTCGTAGCGCGTGATGACAGTCAGACTATAGAAGTGCCACCATCCGGAAAGCATACATACACACATGCACATACATTGTATGTGTGTAAACACCTACATGCACATGTATGTTTGTATGTATGTAAGTATGTATGCATGTATGCATGATTGCATGCTTGCATGTACGGTCTAGGTACGTGCATATGCAATATGTGTATATACACTGATACACATGTAAACCTACATACATGCATACATACATACATACATACATGCCTACATACCTACTTACATACGTACATGCATGCATACATGCATACATACATATGTATGTAAGTGTGTACTTGAAGGTCCATGACTCGCACGCACAAGTAGGACAACCCACGGGCCCGGAAACCCCTACCGCGAACAACCCCCCCCGTGTCGAAAATACTTCAATGTTTCAGCCCTGAGACTTAGACTAAGGTTTACTCTTAGGGCTCCCTAATATGACTTCTTTATATAAGTCCTTAAAAAGGTAGGCTACTTGGGGTTAAGGTAAGCCTTAAGCCCTAAACTCCCCAGTGCTCCCGAGTCCCCATGGTCTCAGGTCCTCTCCTTGGTCCAAGGCCCCCGGGATACTCCTGCGCAAATCCGAAGAGCCCGTTGAACTGGGTTTAGGGTTTAGGGTTGAGGGGTTTAGGGTTTAGGGGTTCAGGGTTTAGGGTTTAGGGGTTTAGGGTTTAGGGGTTTAGGGTTTAGGGTTTAGGGTGTTTAGGTTCCTTTAATCAAAGGGGAAAAGGAGGGACCCTTAATGGGGACCCCTACCCTATAATGGGCTATATAATGGGTGTATAATAGCTATAGAATGCTCACCTCCTTTGCTTGGAGCGGGGGGTTTAGGCAGTTTGCGTCTTTCTAAAATAGGTTGCTGTATAGGGTTTTGCGACTTCATTGGGTGTCGTACGGTAGTTTTCAGGCTTTGACGGGCTCCTTCAGGAACATGCCGCAAACTAGAAAAGGACCCGTAGATTAGCACCATAAAAACTGGTTCGGCTTACTTGAATTCAGATATTTTGGTTCTCCGGTGCATGAAATTTTCGGATTCGTCGGAGGTTGGGGGTTCAGGGCAGGCCGGACAGAGGGTTCGGGAGGGTGTGCCTTAAGCTATCATACCCTAAACCCTAAACCCCTGAACCCCCTAAACCCCTAAACCCCTAAACCCTAAACCCCTAAACCCCTAAACCCTAAAACTCTAAACCCTAAACTACCCGGCATCTTGTAGGTTAATTTACTATGAACCTGAAGTTTGTGCGGATTTCAGAAAAAAAGGTCGGTTTTGGGGGAGTTCAAGGTAGGGCAAGAGGAGCGCCGATGTGGGAAAGTGAGAGACTTGGGAGGTCCCAATGTAGACGCCTAAGGGCTGCTTGGTTTAGGGGTTTAGGGTTCAGGGAAGCTATAAATCGAGTCATAAGTCCCCCAATATGGGTTAGAACTGTAGTTGCACTACTTACAACCCCACTTAACACCACCCATGAACCACAGGTAGAATCCTTGATATGCGGACCCGTCCAGCGCCCATTTGGGGCTCTAGGGTGAAGCTCTGAGATTTAGGTTCTGGGGTTCTTGGACGAAGCTTCCGAGGAGGGTCGATGCGCATTTTTCAATGTGGGTGGTTGTCAAAATTAGGGTCCCTTTTGGGGTCCCTAATATAAGATGGCACCTGTTATTTACGGTACCCAAAAAGGGACCCTAATTTTGACAGCCACCCATGTGTGTTTGAAAAACGGCGGTTAGCGGCTCCTGTTTATGAGCCTTAATGGGAGGCTTCTTACTGTTCAGGGATTCTTGTTTGGGGGCTTTACCACAAGGATCCTGCTATTTGAGGTTCCATGAAAAGGTCGCAAGGGCCTAGTCTAGCGTGTTGGTGGGTTTGGGGTTTGAGTTCTTGCACCACAGTGGTCGACTGGAGTTTAGGCCGTGGTGGCTGCAGGGAATTAAGTCCTGCTGCCAGTACAAGTCAAGAACCAAGGCTGTGATTCCTGCCCTGCTTGGTTATAGTCCCTATTAATTCAGACGTTGGGTTTTCAGGTAGATTGATGAAATCTCCAAGGTGGCTTCAAGTTACTCCAGGAGGGCAGGTTCAGCTCTTTTCTTGTCCCTGACGTCTTTCGGGTTTGCGGTGTAGGAACAAAGCCCACTCTCCTCAACAGCATAGAAGCTAAATGCAGGACTCAAGATGGATCAAGTACTTGTACATAAAGCTCTGGATGATTGCCAATATTATTCCTTAAAGGATCCCCCGTTTGAGTATAGCAAGTGTACCACAAAACCCTGTTAGAACTAATTTTCGAGCCCCGATATTACTTAATAGACTGTCTTGGGTTCCATGCTATTAGTTTTGAGAGAGGGCACAATTAAAGAAGCAAAGGCAGTGGATTAGTCTTCAATCCATGGTACACCGGGTGCTGGCCATGATGTCTTCTGCCAGAGAAGGGCCACGACCTGCTAGACAAGCTTGCTTCAGGCTACGAAGCCTTTGTCGAGCTTTGGGATGATGCAGTTGACTTCTTCCACAGACGCCGCGCGCTTGAAACTGCGGTGCTTGCGCGGCGTGGCCGCACCTGTTAGACTGGTTGGTTTAGAGAATTGTCGTGTTGCAAAGGCTCCGCCAACACGATCCGGTTGAATGCATCTCTCAGTCCACATAATTTAGACCATGAACAAGGTAAGTTTGCCCGGCCTCCAAAAGCGGAATGCACCAACAAAACACCAACGAGTTTCACCCTGCCGTCGGAGCGCGTTGAAGTGATGCTCGTGCTCAGATGCCACGACAGTTATCTACGTGCCTGGCAAATCATCTGCTCCGATCCCAATGAGGCCCAGAGACAACGACAACAGTTTGCGCATGTGTTACATATGATTGGTAGAATCTTCTGCTCTGGCCAACCTGACCATGAAAGTTGACATCCTGTATCCTGAGGATCCGTCACCCAGTTCCCACATCTCCAGCATCGTATGCACAGATTACTCGACAGACACAGATGAGATGCCCGACGTGGTCATTACAACTACGAACTACCCCATCGAGGAAGTTCAGGAAAGCCAACTGGAGCAGCAACATGGAGATCCATGCATTTGCCAACATGTGCATTGTGTGGACGGTGAAGCCTCTTCGCGAAGTAGAGAGGAAGAGGCAGCGCATCCACGTGCTCAAGGAACAAATCAGATCGCAGAGCTGCACTCGCAGTTGGCCCAAAGCTCGGCTTCCGGAGCAGAGGAGATGGTGGCTGCGACGGCGCGCCCTAGCTTCCTGAAGATCGCGTTCAGGCCTCATGGAGCCGCTGTTTATTTCTACGGCCGTGAAGGATCCCGAGAGGTCTCTTGAAGTCTTATGAAAGAACATCAGGATACTTTGTAAGCAGAGCAATAACCGAGCGATCCAACCAATGTCCAATTGGTGAGCGCTGTGCGAACGCACCAGCTCGAAAGAAAAACTTTGAACCGTGCAGGCTATCTTTCTGTGCTGTGAATGCTTAAGATTAGCAGGGGCGGTGTGGTCAGGTGAGCAATTTGGGAAGAATCTGTAGGAGCAGGTTTCTAGCCAGCAACAGAGCCGCTATATGCCGCTATACAACCACGGGACTCCGAGTACTTCCGTGAAGCCTCAGACACAAAAGACCTGAAATTGAATACGCTGAGCCCTAAACTGTAAACCGAACATGCCCGAAGCCGCAAACCCTAAACCCTAAGCCCCTGAACCCAGAATCCCTAAAACCCTAAACCCCTAAAACCTATGAACCCTAAATCCCCAAAGCCGTAGACCCGAAACCCTACTTCCGTAAACTCGCTGCTTACCTTGACCCTGGAGCAGGATGCCTTTGATGGCGCCACCCTTCCCGCAGACGCCGGCAGCCTCAGAACCGCTTAGGTTTGGGTGTTTTTAGGTTCCTGAGAAGTACTTGTTTGCCCCTTTTAGTCTGGGGTCCCCTCATTACAACCGAATAGTAGAAAAAAGGGTACCCTTATTATAAACGGGCTGCTCAGGAACCTGGTTCTAAAAGGGTTGCTGTAGTATGAGGGCCACTGTACGGGTTACTACTAGATTTGGGAGATCCGAGTTTTTTTCTGGTGTTTTCGAGAAGAGCATGCGAGTGAAAGAGCTCATATCAGGCAAAGCCCAAACCCTGAAGTCTGGAGGCCCACAGCTCCAACCCTCAACTGCAAGCCAGTCTTGGAGACCGGGATACCGAGAATGCACGTTCTTGCAGTGTTGGATGCTTGGAATCTTTAAGCCCGCAACCGCAACCCTGAATTTTTTGCCTTTGAAGCCCTGAGCCCCTCAAGCCTGGCCATGACTAATCAGAACCTATGTTTCTTGTAGGGTCCCCATGAAATCCATATTAAGGTTCATGATACAGACAGAACCTATTGAAAGAACAGAATTATAGCAGTTGAAGGTAAACCGTGAAGAAGCCGAGGCCACAGCCTCTGCTGGACTCTGACCCTGCCGTTGCAACCTCAGTGCCGATGGTCGCCTTTGCCTAAACGTGAGACGTCTGAATGATAAGGTTTAGGGTTGTACGCTTCACGGCTGAATTATTGCGGTTTAGGATTTACATAGGGTTCTACATGATTAAAAATAGGTAGTATCCCCTTGTCCCTGTGTAAGACACTTCTAGACAGATACTACAATTGTTGACCTAGCCCTATTCGGGCTCAAGGTATTCAGGATCCAGCCCTTAAGTCAGGCGATTGGTGGCTTTTCCAAGAGCGCGCTTAGGTTTCAAGGCTTCTGGGTTTCCGGCTTTGGGGGTAGCAGGTAGCGGGTCTTTTTGGGAAAGCTTTGCCCTAAGCCCAAAACCTTAAGCACTACCAATTGGGGCTGTGCAGGAGTTTGGGCTGGGAGAATATGGAAGCCGCGTGCCCCCACCGAGGACGGACCTGTGTCCGTGGCATTTGGCCTGAAACAGGACCGATTTCTTATCCCCCCTTACAGCCCTTGGGATATAGTTATAAGTTGTAGTGTAGTATAGCACAGAACCATTTTCTAATTAGTGAGGCCCCGACACGAAGGGGAGTGGCTCGGCTGAAGGTTTTTGAATTGCATTGAACGTCGCAAAGTCGGAAGGAAGGTAGGTGGTTGCCTCGAGTGCCTTTCGCAGTTTCAGTTTGTGGAACGGGGCTCAAAGTGATCCTTGCAAGGATTCAGACAGTTTGTTGCGAAGCGCACCCTAAGCCTTTCAAAAAAGGTTCGAGGTCAGCAGTTTTTGAGAGGGATTAAGCTGATCAGTCAAGAGCATGCAATACAGCGCGAAGCTTCGCTTGTGCGTTCAACTACTTAAAGATTTGCAGGTCATCGTGAATCTTCCAATTTTGAGTTTGCCGGGAACGCTATTCGATTGTGGTTTGCGCATGGCCCAGACCCCCGCCAGCCCCCAAAGCAAAACCAAAAGCTGAGGGGCCGCCGCCAATCGCAAACCAAAGCCCTAAAGCTCATAATGCCGAAGCCTGAAGATTGCCCAAAAGTAGTATTGAAGGATTTCAGCGCTGCCAGGTTTAAGGTATAGAGTTTCTAGGGCCTCTACAGTGTAAACTAGAACACCACGCCCTTCGTTTCTAGAATCGGGTCTGTGGGTTCTTATAACAGAAATGATAGTAATTTGGGGTTTAGGGGTCTAGGGCTTAGAGTTGACATGGGGCTTGGGGTTTTGGGTTTAGGATAATGTCAACACCTGATTAAAACACCCTGGGCTATAACCCCCAAATAGTAGGAGTGATATAAAGAACCCGAATAAAGGCCCAAGGTTTTTTAATCAGGTTCCTAAATTATTATAGTACCCTTATAGATCCCTTATACTAACCCTTATAAACCCCTTTAAAGGAACCCTAAGAAAGGCCCCAGGTTTCTCAATCAGGTTCCTACATTAGGGTTTAGGGAATATTGCCCTATAGTCTCCTAATGTAGCAATGTAGGGTTTAGGGTTTAGGGTTTAGGGTCCCTAAACCCTAAACCCAAAATTTCAAGTATTAAGGCCCCTGAAGATATCCGAAGATCATTCAGCAGGAAGTGGTGGAGACACGCGCCAAGTATCCCGCGCCCGCGACGCTACAGCCGCTCGTCTCGGGATTTCTGCGGGCCCCGCAGGATTCAGAGCTTTTGTGGGTTGGGTTGCATTCCTAAAGGGTTTGGTGGCTTTTGGGTGTTTAGGGTGTCGAGGGGTTTGGTGCTTTTTGGGTTTAGGGTGTTTGTTATTGTACATTTTGTCGCTTGAGTGTGCACAGGGTGTGTAGGGTGGAGGGTTTGTTCAAGCTTTTGGTTTGAAGGCTTTGAAGCTTTCATGGTTTAGTTGTTGTTGGTGTTAGGGTTGCGGTGCTCGGGCCTGTACGGCTGTAGGATGAACCACTGCAGTATGCTACGCTGGTGGAGACATGGTAAAGGCGATTGATCCGGCTTCGTTACTATGTCGGAATCGAAACCCCAAGGAAGAACCAGAGGTCACGGGTATCGCCTATCCCTTCCGTCTCCAAACCCAATCCACAACCCCCAAACAGTGTGAACACGGAAACATCGGAACAATTGATCCCATAACCCAGAACCCAAGACTCCATGCTCTGAGCCCCAACCTTGGACACACCCGAAAAATGGCTCTAACGTCACGCCAAAAGCAGCAAAGCCATGTCTCGGAGAGTTGATCGTCACCGGGCTGTCTTAAACCTGGGTAGTTCTATAGATCTATAGCGGCTCCTCATTGGGTTCAGCTTCGCTAAGCTGGGTACTTTAGAGGGAGCCCCAAGAGACAGCAAAGCCCTCTAAATCCTGCCCCACACCTCAAACCTCAAAGCCTGAATCGCTCCAAACCCCAAAAAAACTTCAATAACTCCCAAAAACCCCAAACCTCACATCCAAAACCCCGAAGCTGAAAAAGCTGGCAATATTCCCAACAGAACCCTATGTTATATGTAACCCTCATCGATCTCCGAAGCTAGGTACATCCAGCGGCGCGCCGCGGTCCTTCGGGAGGAGGAGATGTGTCTCGCCCGGACGTGCCCTGAAGATAGGACCCTCCCGATATTATTATCAGAATTAATAGTAATACTAGTACAATAATAATTATATAGTACTAGTATAATAATAGTATAATAGTAGAATAAGAGTAGCATAATAGCAATAATAGCAATAATAGTAAGAGTAGTATTATAGTAACAATAGTAATAACTTAACAGCAGAAACAGTGGGGGCCATTGTTATGGGGGTTGCGAGGGTAAGGTGTCTTATACATACGTTAAGGACAGTCTTGCAAGACTTATAAGACGGGGGTGTTGAGGCGCTTAAACAGGTCCCATCATCAGAATCATCAGAAAATCAGATCACGAACCAATCTCCTACTACAAGAGCTGGGGCTGCGCGGTGCAGTTGCGCTTTAGTGTGTCAGGTTCAAGGTTCAGGGTTTGAGGTTTAGGGTGTAGGGTTTAGGGATAGGGTTTAGGGTTTAGTGTCTAGAGCCTCTACTAAGGCTTACATGCGGAATTGCGACACCCACCCCATGAAAGCATGTGTGGCATACCACGATGTGCCTATAAACCTGAAGCCAAGAGCAAACAGTCACCACAGGAACACGACTCACAGACAAACTTTTCGCATCATATGCCACCCACAACCCTAACCCTAATCCGTATACCCTAAACGCTAAAGCCCTAAACCCTAAAGCCCTAAGCTCCGTCTCCATCTCTGCACTTGGCCTAGAAAGCGCCAATGCCAGCCCTCGGCCGAGTCCGACGTCTGTGGCCCCTCGGCCGGGAAGAGGGACGAGTCCAGCTTGAGCATCCTCGGAAGCTGTGCACTTCAGAGGTTTCGGGCTTGTAGGGTTTATAGGGTTTTTAAGGTTCGGGGTTTAAGGGATTATAGGGTTTTTAGGTTTCAGGCGCTTATAGGGTTTAGGGTTCAGGGTTCAGGGTTCAGAGTATAAGGTTCAGGGTCGGGGTGTTGGTCCTTGGATTAGGACTTTGGCTCTCAGCCCCCCTTCTGCCATGCGAGGTTGGGTCATGGCCACCAATGATGCGAACGGTTCCTATGGAGGCGGGGTTGCCCGGTGTTTCGTGGATTGTCGTTTGGAATTGCTGGTTTAGCCGTACAAAACTCCTGATGGGCTGAGCTTGCCCTTGCTTACAACCCTGTTGAGAAGTTTCGACACCCCACATGGGTAGATCTCGAAATTAGGGTCCCCTTTTAGGGGTCCCATTTATACGGGTGCCGTACTATACTTGGGGACCCTAATTTCAGGAACTACCCACATACAAGCAGCCCCTGATCAAGGGAAGCCCGATCTTGTTCAACAACTGTAGGACCCCGAATGAAGAACCCCGCAGTAAAGAACCCTGGAATACAAAGTCCTGTGCTATCAAGCAGAAGCCTAAGACAAGCCCCTAAACCTTGTTTAGCCCATAATTGATTTGAGAGTTTCCGAAAATGGTGGGGCAAAATAGTAGGATCCTTATTATAAGGACCCCAAGATAAGGTACCCCTTATTTGCGTAAACTCCCGTTTCATTCTAACACCTAAACCCTAAACCCAAATAGCTGAACCCTAAACCCTAAACCCGATCCTAACAAGCCTCTGACACGCCTTGTGGCACACTTTCCCGGGATGCTCCAAGGTCGCCATCCGGACAACGAAGTCTCTGCCGACAGGAGCGGAGCTCTCTCTAAACCCCAAAACCCCAAAATCCGAAAGCTAAAACCTAAATAGCAAGTCTTAATGTGCTTTTTTATAAGGGTTTGGGGGGGATTTATGGGTTCAGGTTTTGGGGCCTCGTGGTTCAAGGGTTTAGGTGTGAGGCTTGCGACTTGCGTTCAGAGTCATCTTTTAACTTGTCAGAGTTGCGCAGCTCTCCGTCGGACAGTTCTCAAGGTCGCAACATGAAAGCCTACTTGGAGGTTCATGGGTAGTTATACATGGAGTTAGACGTCCCCTAATATGGGTTATATCTATTCTATAGTTACCCTACTTATAACCCAGATATAACTACCCATGAACCTCCAAGTAGACCCTGAGTCCGAAACTAAACCCTAAACCCGAGCTCGGTTCAGGGCCCTCCGAGTCTGTAAGTCAGAGACTGGTCAGAGGATGCTTTCGTATGGCTCCCAGGACTGAGTTTGAGGTTAAGAAGTTACGGTTTAGGGGTCAATGGTTTAGGGTTTAGGGTACAGAAATTTAGGGTTTAGGGTTTAGGGTTAGGATTTAGTTGTTGGGTTTCGGACCCTCACCTTGGAGCTTGATGCCGAAGCCGAAGCTTAAGCCCCACGCCCTGAAGCCAGAACCCGAGATCCCCAAGCGTGACACTTCAGCCCCCAACGGCTCAGCCCGGAACTCTCAAGCCCCGAGCCCAAACTCCCATAATATGGACCCCGGGCAGCACTCTTCTGGGATGCCTTGTTAACCTAGATTGGATTTTGGGACATTTTTTTTTTGATTTTCATTGTTTGGATTTACAAGGGACCCTTTATATAAGTATTTTTCAGGGTGTTTAAAGGCCAATCCAGTAACTTCAAAGGAACCCCGTTTAACCCTGAGCCGCAGAAGGCTTCCCCCTCGCCCAACACAGGATGAATTTGCATTTCGACGACTTCAGGCAGGACCGCAGAGTACAGGTGTAATATACAGGCCTTCACAACAGTTAAACATCGACTAGAGTTTGAGCAGTACTATACACTACTGAACTGTAGGTGCAGCGTGCCAGAAGGAGATACTACTGCTAGTTATTCCGACCTACATCACGGCTTTTTCTGGGTGGGTAGGCTTTAGAGGATGTTTGATGCTTCGATAGGACTCGGAGTTCGCGCTTGACGTTCCGTCATTTTCGCTGACGGGTATCGGCATGTCAAGTGTTCTGTGGTAGCGACTGGTGTGTATATAAAGCCGTATATGTCGGCATAGTCATCATTGCCATCAGTCCTGCTATCGTTGCCAATCTCGTTCGTTCTTGCTAGTACTATCTCCCTTGCTTTCATTTCTGCTGACATCCTGTTGCGTTCTGTCTTGTTCGGGCTTAAACCATGAACCCAAACCGGGCCCCCAGTAGAAACCTTTTAGAGGTGTCCTTATCAAGTTGAAGCATGGAGAGCAACGTGCCTGTACCACGAAGGGGTAGCTGGGGAACCTAGCAACACAGCCGCACCTTAAACCCCCGAAGCCTAAACTCCAACCCCCAAGCACCGCTCGTTTGAACCAGTCTGAGCCCCCAAACTGGGGGCCGAGGTTCGAAAACTCTGCGGCTTGCTCGTTTAGGGCTCAGGGTTTTGAGGCCTCTGGATCGATTTCGTCACAACCCCTTGCCTTAAACTCAACCCAATCCGCCTCGTCCTCTTCCCACGGGGTCCCCTGAGCCCTCAAATCCCAATGCCTTCAAACCCAAGCATTTCAACCCTAACGCCGCTCCAATATGACATACACACTTAAATGGGAGTTTCCGAAAATTGGGGACCCTAATATAGCACCCTAAATAGTAGGATCCTTATTATAAGGACCCCCAAATAAGGTACCCCTAATTTTCGGAAACTCCCAAATAGAACCTTGTGGGGCCCTGAGCCCGACGCCCGAAACCCTAAACCCCAACTGCCGCAGAGGACAGCCAAGAAAGAGAAACCCTGGACCCTAAACTCTGAACCCAAAGCCCAAGATCTTAAAACCTCAAGCCCCAAAGCCTTAAACCCAAAAGAAGACCTCCAGGGGACCCTATAGTACCCTAAAAATGTGCTCAAAGCCCAAGACCCTGTCGAGCAATGAGGGTGCGTAGGTAGTGAACCTGAGCCGGCCTCATCGAGGCTCTCCTGTACCAGGCAGTGTAGAAAGAGGCCCTCCATAATTACCCATACTAGTTTTGGGGGTTTCTTCTTTACAGGTAGAGTAGAATATGACCCAAAACCCTAGGCCCCTAAATTAAACCTTAAACCCTACAAGACTAGTAGAAGCCCTCCCCCAGCCCAAAACCCTATTCTACTTGTTAAGGCCCCTATATTAAACCCTAAACCCCAAGAGACTATCAAAAGCCCTCCCCGAGGTTGGTCTACCAGGCGATCTCTGGCACTGCGCTGCTCCATTGGGCCTCGATGGAGGACGACGGCCTGGCAGATCATAAGGGCCATGTTATGTAGGTAGTTGTCAAAATTATGGCCCCGTTTTGGGCACCCTAAATATTAGGTGCCGTACTATAATAGGGACCCAAAAAGGGACCATAATTTTGACAACCACCCATGTAGGCTTTGGTTAAGGCCGTGCAGAGTTTCGGGGTTTCGAGCGACCGGCGGGTCCATTCGACTTTGGTCTTAAGGGTTCGAGTCTTTATGTTCCTGGGCAAGCCTTCGTGACATCACGATCAAGCCTCATTAAAAGCCCTTCAAAGCTTTGCAAAGACCTCGGTCGGTAAAATCTCAAAGCAACACCCAGCAAATCATCCCCTTCCCCTAAACCTTAAAGCCCCAAAGCCCCCCAAACCCTAAAGCCCCTACACCCCCAAACCCTAACCTTAAACCCTGCACCCCCAAACCCTACACCCTTAAACCCTAAACCCCTAGACCCCTAAACCCTTAGCAAAGGACTTCAAGGTTGGAATCTTCGGTGCCCGGCGCGCCCCGCGGCCCATCGCCTGGTGGGACCTGCGGAAAGCCTACGCCGCCGGGCGGGGACGAAATCTTTTGCTTCTCCTAGTAGTAGTAGTAGTAGTAGTAGTAGTAGTAGTAGTAGTAGTAGTAGTAGTAGTAGTAGTAGCAGTAGCAGTAGTAGTAGTAGTAGTAGAAGTAGTAGTAGAAGAAGAAGAAGTAGTAGCAATAAGAAGCACAAAGCTTATCACAATAATGGTCGTGAGAGAACCAACACTATAAGGATGACAAGAGGTGATAATGCATATGCAGCAACTTTCAGACGAAGGATAGCACGATAGCAAGCAGAAAACTGTTATTTGTGTTCGCTAGGTTATGAGGTCGGCGTAGGGGTGGTTGCGGTTCAGGGTTTTGAGTTACCGAGGTTTAAGATCAAGCAGGGCGAGCAGCTAGCAATCTCATTTCTTTGAAGTACTCGTATGATGTATAGATTCACGGAGCACTACACATGCCTATGCTAGCTGCTAGTTCCGCTTCATTGACAAAGGACCGTTTAGAAGATGTTATGAACTACTATAAACTCCCTACTCTAGAGACGGTTAGGGCCAAGGCCCTCCAAGTGAGACTTCGAGACTCAGATAAGGCAATAGTATACAGTGTTAGGTAGTATTATCTGTTGCCAGACTGTAGTATACGCTGGTGTAAAGCTAAGGAAGTAACAACTGATCTTCCAAGTCACAACGTTCCAAAACCCTAACATCCTCAACCCTCAAAACCTACAGCCCCACAGCGCAGGAGCCGAACAGGAAGAACCCCAGACCCCAACCCTAACGCCGTTCTTTCCAAGCCCCTTATAAAGCTTTATAACCGTGGTGCAGCCCCTTATAAACTCCAAAGTCGCCCTTATGGATCCCTTGTAGCAGCCCTGAGAGGCTGATTGGGAACCCCAAAACCCTGAAGCACGCATGAATCCCTTCTCCACCCCTTATTATAAAGCTTCTTATATACACCCCCTAAACCCTAAACCCCAAACCCTAGAGGCAAAACCTCCAAAACAATTAAATCGCTTAGGACATCGTGGTGCAACCCGGAGATCGTAACTTCGACATGGCGGCGGCGCAGTTCACAGCTCCCCGGCCCAGCTTTCTCTTTTTTGTGGCGAGTTTAGGGTTGAGAGTTTAGGATTGAGGGTTCTGGGGATAGGGGTTTACTGTAGGGTTTAGGATTGAGGCTTTAAGGGGGTTTGCCTAAGTCATCCTCCGCTGTCTCCACAGCATCTGCCCGGCACCCGCGCGATGTTTTCACGCACACATCCCAGAGACTCCAATATCCCTTAATTAAGGACTATTCCTTAAATCATATTAGGGATCCTACTTTAATTTAAGGTATATTCCTTAATTAAGGGGTATTGGAGTCTCTGGGATGTTGGATTGGGTGTTCCCGACTGGCCGTTCTGAGCCGCCAGCCTTCAACTTACACTTCTATTGCGCCTCAAAGCTCGAAAAGCACCGGGAACTCCTAACGTCCGTTAGGGCTCAGCCAGCAAACCTACCCTGAACCCTAAACCCCAAACCCTAAACAGTAAACCTTAAACTAGTAGTAGTAGTAGTAGTAGTAGTAGTAGTAGTAGTAGTAGTAGTAGTAGACCATCCGAGCCCTCAGACCCGAAACCGCTAAGCCCGTAAACCTGAGATTCTGATGCACGGCGGCAACCTCGGCTTCGCAGTGGAAGGCGAAGAGGAGCCGTTCCTCAGCAAGCCGTCTCTTTTTTTTAGCTTGAATAATCAAGCAAAGAGTATACCGTTTGTGAGTAGTAATTTTGGGACGCGCTTGTATATTCACGATTGTCCGAACAGGAACAGGAGCATGACTAGTATACCGTTAAGGGCAAGGTTTTTTTTATTATAGCTGTAGCATGATATACCTCAACCCTACTCTAATTATTAAGGCCCCGGTATGTGGTGATCTTTGTTTGCGACCCTGGACACTGCAGGGTCAAGAGGTTGTCGGGTTTGTGATTTGCGCGGGTGGGGCCATGACAGTTTGATGTGTTTAAGAGTATAGGGCTGAATTTTTCAAGATGTAGGCCATAGACTTCCAACTGTTAGATCCGTGGCAGAAGGACCGCTAAATCCGAGATACCTCAATGAAGCAGGGTACTCAAACATCTCTCCAAGCCACCGTTTGTGCTGATTCCAAATTCTTCGTTTGTGTAACAGCGTGGCTTCCGCTTACCAGGTTCTCGGGTGTTAGCGTTGGTGCCGCTGCTTTTGAACCATTCTCCATGTATGGACTTTCTGTATACTGAAAAATCATGTCCTGTTTCGCAGCATGTAGACTGAGAGGAGGGATGCTCAAACTTCAACGAATGAGTGCTGAGCCCGACGCCCCGAAATGCTCAAGCGTTAGGCCTTGGGTATTGCCCCCACTCAGTAACAGCTGTTCATTATACAGATATATTAGGACCTTAATAGTAGCCCTATAGACTGTTACTGTATGCGGGCAGTACCCAAATTAGGCCTAAGCCACCCCGTCATCCTCGACTCCCAACAACTGGTCCCATACCCCTACGGCCCAAAGTCCTCAGCTCCAAAGCCAAGCCCGAAGCCTGCGAGACCCAGCGATAGAGCCTTATAGTATCATGGGCTTTTCTCTACATAGCCAATAGTGGTTCTATAAGGCTTATAGAGCCACTAGTGGTTATGTAGAGAAAAAAAAGGCCCATGAACTCTCAACTCGATCAGTCTAGGCGTCGTGTATACCCTGAGTACTACAGTCCTTATAGAATCCTAGTACAATCATACATCCGAAAACCCGAGTCTGTTTATTGAGCTATATATACATATATGTGTATACATATATATATATATATATTGAAGATATTTGTTATTCTAAACTACATAAAGGGTATGAAGCCTCATAGGCCCTACAACGATTCAGAACCAAAAGCCCCAGAAAACCATGGCGCAATCCTATCAGCATCTATGTAATGTCCTGTAACCCAGAAGCCCTCCACAAATCCTCACTGTCCTCCTTCTTTCAATGGCTTTCCGAGTTTTTAGGGTTGAGCTTTTAGGCTCTTCTGTTTGAAGGATGTGCCCGTTTGGTACAATGCCGTCACGGCCTGAGATGGTTGTTTTGCAAGCTTTTTGTCTTCGGCTCCTTCCTCTTCTAGGGGTGCTCGCCTGATGGAAGGGTTTAGGGTTTAGGGGTTTAGGGGTTTAGGGTTTAGGGTTTAGGGTTTAGGGTTTAGGGTTTGGGGTTTAGGGTTTAGGGTTTAGGGTTTAGGGTTTAGGGTTTAGGGTTTGGGTTTAGGGGTTTAGGGTTTAGGGTTTAGGGTTTAGGGTTTAGGGTTTAGGGTTTGGGTTTTAGGGTTTAGGGTTTAGGGGGTTTAGGGTTTAGGGTTTAGGGGGTTTAGGGGTTTAGGGTTTAGGGTTTAGGGTTTAGGGTTTAGGGTTTAGGGTTTGGGGTTTAGGGTTTAGGGTTTAGGGTTTAGGGTTTAGGGTTTAGGGTTTGGGGTTTAGGGTTTAGGGTTTAGGGTTTAGGGTTTGGGGTTTAGGGCTTTTAGATTCTGTGCTCTTGGGTCGAGGGTTCAGACACGTCGCTCTACTACGGGGGCCTGGGCACTCGAGTCAGCTTAGTTGTAATACAAAGCGTTATCTAAAACCTTAAACCCTAAACCCCAACCCTAAACCCCAACCCTAGACCTTGAATCCTAAACCCCGGAGCCCTAAACCGATAAGCCCTTAAACCTTCTATCCCATCGTTGCGGCCGGTCTCAGCCCCAGAGCTTCAGTTTCGGAAGCCAAACCCCCAACCCTAAACCCTAAATGCCACAGACAGTCGAGGATGTCGTGAAACCTGAGGGCCCTAGTAGTGTAAGCTCGGAACAGAGCAAGCTTCAGACTTTGCAGCTGCGGAGAAAGGGGCTACTGCACTTAAAACAAACCCTAAACTGGCATAGATAGAGGCCCTTTGAAAAAAATATCCAAACTGTCCCTACACCTTCAACCCTAAACCCTCCCTTGAACCCTATATAAAACCCAAAACCTGGCGAACCTCGCCTGCGGACTCGTGAAACAGGTGTCAGAAATGACAACTTTAAACCTGAAATCTCAAACCCCGAAAGCCCAAAGCAAAGCCGCGCGGCGAGATCCAAGTGGTTTAACTACCCTAGACCCTAGCCCTTGACCCAAAACCTTAAACCCTAAACCTTAAACTTAACAACCTCTAAACCTTAACCCCCCAAACCCAAAACCCTAAACCCTAAACCTAAAACCTAATTCCCAAGTCCAGCAAGGTGAGATCCGTCATCCGGGACTGTGCCGGCCTCCCAGTTACTATCGGGGCTTGGAAGAGCAAGGGCGCGAAGCTTACAGGGTTGGGCTTTAGGGTTGGGCTTTAGAGTTTAGGGTTTAGGGCTTAGGGTTTCAGGCTTGCAGGCTCGAAAGGGCAGCTTTTCAACAGCAGGAATGTATCGACAGTACATTAACATGGAAGGTTTCTGCTTGTTTGATTTGGGGTTATCTTCTTAGCTAGCTTAGAGGTTTAGTATTAGGGCTTTGGCGCTTGGGGCGAGAACTCCAGGCACACCTTGTTCCGAGCCTCTCCCGCATGGAGAACCTTGACACCTAGAGCATGAACCCACCCCGGGACAGGGAAAGCTCACCTAAACCCTGAACCCAGAGACTCCAATATCCCTTTAATTAAGGAATATACCTTAAATTATAGTAGGACCCCTAATATGACTTCAGGTATATTCCTTAATTAAGGGATATTGGAGTCTCTGGGTAGCGCAAGCCCAAGTCCGGCCCTCAGCCTTCATCCCAAGACCTTCAGCCAATAGAGCTCTAAAGTCTGTGTCACAGGTACGCAGCTCTGATTAGTCTAAAGCTATAATCTCCTCGACCCAAAGGTGCAATCAGCATGAAAAGGCTTATACATCCCTTAATGTTCTAAACGCATTCAACAACTTGTCAGAAACACCTGAGCCCTGTAAAAGCCCCACCTCCCCCCTCCAAGAGAAAGTCATCAAACTTAGGCCACCACAAGAGGCTTCCACCTTGAACCCTGATCCTTAAACCCTAAATCACCTATGCATCCCTCTAAGCCCTAAACCCAAATTCCCTTCTGCATCCCTTTAAGGGTCCCCTTTTCTGGATCCTTTTGGGAGTTTCCGAAACTTAGGGGTATCTTATTTTGGGGTCCTCATAATGCGGATCCTACTATTTGGGGTACTATATAAGGGTCCCCTAAACCCTAAACCCTAAACCCTAAACCCTAAACCCTAAACCCTCTCTTTCATATGTATATTTAAACCCTGTAAGGGATTTTGGCCTTTTCGGGCCCAACCCTGTAGCCGATTTTGGCCTTTTCGAGCAACCCTGTCGGGGATTTTGGCCTTTTCCGACCAACCCTGTCGGGGATTTTGGCCTTTTCTGACCAATCCTGTAGCCGATTTTGGCCTTTTCCGACCAACCCTGTAGCCGATTTTGGCCTTTTCGACCAACCCTGTAGGGGATTTTGGCCTTTTCTGACCAACCCTGTAGGGGATTTTGGCCTTTTCCGACCAACCCTGTCGAGGATTTTGGCCTTTTCGACCAACCCTGTAGGCGATTTTGGCCTTTTCGACCAACCCTGTAGGGGATTTTGGCCTTTTCCGACCAACCCTGTAGGGGATTTTGGCCTTTTCCGACCAACCCTGTCGAGGATTTTGGCCTTTTCGACCAACCCTGTAGGCGATTTTGGCCTTTTCGACCAACCCTGTAGGGGATTTTGGCCTTTTCGACCAACCCTGTAGGGGATTTTGGCCTTTTCCGACCAACCCTGTCGAGGATTTTGGCCTTTTCGACCAACCCTGTAGGCGATTTTGGCCTTTTCGACCAACCCTGTAGGGGATTTTGGCCTTTTCGACCAACCCTGTAGGGGATTTTGGCCTTTTCCGACCAACCCTGTCGAGGATTTTGGCCTTTTCGACCAACCCTGTAGGCGATTTTGGCCTTTTCGACCAACCCTGTAGGGGATTTTGGCCTTTTCGACCAACCCTGTCGGGGATTTTCGACCAACCCTGTAGGCGATTTTGGCCTTTTCTTTGCTTTACTTAACACCGGAACGAACAACGGTGATGAGGAGTACAAGCTGTGAAAAAAAAATACTCTGTATTTTCTTAATGTTAGGGGATTCTTTGGGCGGGTGGGTTTTTGTCTAAGAATGTAAGCTTGACTAGAAACTGCTCGACCCAGAGCTGCTGAACCCAAACCCTAAACCCTAAAACCCTAAACCCTAAACCCTAAACCCTAAAACCCTAAACCCTAAAACCCTAAACCCTAAACCCTAAACCCTAAAACCCTAAACCCTAAACCCTAAACCCTAAACCCTAAAACCCTAAACCCTAAACCCTAAACCCTTTTCGGCCACTCCCTTTTTAAAGAAGCCTGAGCCCGACTCCCTGGGAACCCAAGGCCTGGCACCAGGCCACGCGATCCGAGACGCCGGAGAGCCGGAGGCCTTCCGCTTGAGATTGGGGGGGGGGGTTCCTTTAAGGGTTCCTTTAAGGGTTCCTTTAAGGGTTCCTTTAAGGGTTCCTTTAAGGGTTCCTTTAAGGGGGGGGGTGGGGTTTCCTTTAAGGGTTCCTTTAAGGGGGGGGGGTTGGGGGGTTCCTTTAAGGGGGTTTTTGGGGGTTCCCTTAAGGTTTCCTTTCAGGGGTTTAGGGGTTTTCTTAAGGTTTCCTTTCAGGGGTTTAGGGGTTTTCTTAAGGGTTCCTTTCAGGGGTTTAGGGGTTCTCTTAAGGGTTCCTTTAAGGGGTTTGGTGGTTCCCTTAAGGGTTTCTTTAAGGGGGTTCGTGGTTTGAGAGGGTTTAGGGTTTGGGGTTTAGGATTTGAGGGTTGGGATTTTGAAATTGACCCAGTGTTACATGTTCAGCCCGTTTAAATCCTGAGCTCCCGAATCGCCGAGGCCTCGTCAGCCCTATGCCATTTGTTCAGCCCTGAACCCTTAAACCTTTTCAGCCTCAAGCCGTTTCAAATTTCCAGCAAGTGCCCAAGGAACCCGGCACTTCAAACAGCCTAAACCGATTGAATCAAAACCCTAAACCCAGGAACCTAAACCTCAAGCCCATGCGTAGACCCTGGAGGCCCTCATAAACCCATAAACCCACAAACCCCGAACCCCTAACCCTGCATAAGTCCTAAATCCAAAATCCTCCCAGAAGCCTCATGGATCCCTTTCAAGGAGCCCTTAACCCCTAAATCCGAAATCCTAGACCCGCAAACCCTAAACCCCCCTTACATCCTACATCCAAAGCCCTCTTCGAACCCTTGTGGATCCCTTCAACGGAACCCTAAACCCTTACACCGTAAACCCCTTAAATCCAAAATCCTCACTTGGAGGTTCATGGGTAGTCATAAATGGAGCTATACGTCCCCTCATATTGGGCTGTAGCTGTAGTTACCCACTTATAACCCCCATCATAACTACCCATGAACCTCCAAGTCAACCCCTGCCTTATAGTAATCCTTATTGTACCCTTATAGTAACCCTTATAGTATCCCTTGAAGGTACCCTTTTAAGGAACCTCCATGTACAGTTCTCTAAACCCCTAGACCCTAAATCCCTAAACCCCTAAACCCCTAGACCCCTAAACCCCGAACCCTAAACCCCTAACCTCTAAACCCTGAACCCTAGAAGGAGTCGAAGTGCCCAAGCAACCCTCTTGGAACCCTTATGGATCCCTTTAAAGGAACCCTAAACCCCTAAACCCCAAAACCCCTTCCCTCCCTCCGAAGGAAGCGCTGGGCCGCCGCAAAGGGCGTGGCCTCGGCGCTGTTGGACGGCCGGCCTTTGGGCTCTCGCCGGGGGCCTTGAGTCCGGTTTAGAGCTTAGGGTTTAGGGGTTTAGGGTTTATGGGTTTATGGGATTATGGGTTTAGAGTTTAGGGCTTCGGGGTTTAGGGTTTATGGGATTATGGCTTTGTGGGTTTAGGTTTTAGAGTTTAGGGGGTGTGGTGACGTCATTTGTGCTCGCTGGTGCGTGCACACCCACGCCGCTCGCACCTGTGCGTAGCAGACAGCCCACCCCAAGATCGCCCTGTGTTCAAGCATTTTAGGGTTTAGTTCTAAAGTCTCTTGGCATCCGAGCGGGGGTTTTGGCATAACGGACAGGAGGCCGATACTTTCAATGGAGCCCGAGCAGGATTGAAAGCAGCACCGCATGTGGGCTTTCTGGGAGTTTGTGCCTTTCTGTGTTGGGGTTTCTGTGAGGCTGTGCTGGCGGGTTCTCAGGTGGGCTTCAATAAGGCTGTCCTGGCCGCTGCCGGAAGAAGCCGTGGCTTTTTGGGACTGCGCTGGGGGGGGTGATGAGACAAGCAGCTCTGCACGTGGGTTTTCCGTGGCGGGTTCTCGTGTCGGCTGTCCTGGCGGGTGCCGGAAAAAGCAGTGGGCTTTCTGTGAGGCTGTGCCCCAGGGAGTTGTGGTGAGACAAACCGCAGTGCATGTGAGCTTTCGGTGGGTTTGCCACTTTCTGGATTGGGCTTTCCGTGAGGCTGTGAGGCTCTCCTGGCGGGCGCTGGAAGAAACAGTGGGCTTTCTGTGAGGCTGTGCAGGTGCGAGATATGATGAGACAAGCAGCAATGCAAGTGGGATTTCTGTGAGTCTGTCCCTTTCTGGATGGAACTTTCTGTGAAGCTCTGCTGGCTGGAGTCAGAGATCGGCCGACAGCCCAATGCAAGTGGCATATTTTATAAGCAGAATTTGGTAACAGAAAATCAGCTGTGGTGAAGGGAACAGCCGACAAATCGTGAAGGGTTGGGGGGTCCCTGCCTCCAAAACATCGGGAATCGTGCTTTTGGGAACCTCTACCTTTCGTGAATGGTTCGGGGGTGCAGCCCCTGTCACTGGAGGCGTCCAAGAAAGGGAAACCCCGAGATCGGCCGACAGCCCAAACTTGGTAACAGAATTGATTTGTTAGATTCCTGGAAAGGAACAGCCGCCAAATCGTGAAGGGTTGGAGGTCCCATCCCTGTCTTTTTGGGGAGCCGCTGCAAATCGTCAAGGGTTGGGGGTCCAATCATTGTCGTTTTGGGAGGCCACTCCAAGTCGTGAAGGGTTGGGGGAGGTCCCATCCTTATCCGAAGGAGAGCCGCTCCAAATCGTAAAGGGTTGCGGGGGCCGCATCCCTTTCTTAATCGTGAGTTTGGGGGGCTCCTTGTTGTTGGTGGCCGCTCCAAATCCTGAGGGTGGGGGGGTGCATTGCAGCCCTACACGAAAGGACGTGACAGCAAAAAACCCAGGGTTTAGGGTTTATCCTGTGACCACTCCGTCGGAGGTG